AGATCATATCCAATCAGATCAGATCATGACTTATTCAAATCAAATCCCATCAAGAATTATTATTATTATTATTATTATTATTATTATTATTATTATCATCATCATCATCATCATCATCATCATCATCATCATCATCATCATTATTATTATTATTACTATTATTATTATTGTTGTTGTAGTTGTTCTTAAAAATGAAAAAGAATAAACTTTAGAAATAGGTTAAATAGAAAACTGAGAAAGTAATCCTTAATTATTAGACATCGGAAAAATTATTTTTATAATACATTGACTGTAACACCCTAATCCGTCCAGGTCTGCATCCCCTTTCGGACTAAAGTATTTAACTTGGTAATCGTAAAAATTTAAAACTTTTCAAACACTTTTATTTATCACAATACTATTTTTTTATAACATATACAGTACGGAGTATTCAACCATATTGCGGAAGCGAATTTAATTTTGACAAATCATAAATCATTTCAAACTTGTCACATCCATCCCGACAATCTCGCCCCATCTGCCGCCAGGATCCCATTAATGTTGCTGTTTACCTGCGTGTAGCAAATAAAACACACTACACGCTCAACGGTAAAGCTGAGTAAGCATATCTAATGCATCGAACATCCATATAAACTGAATCTAAATTCATAATCAAATCTTTTGATATCATGCACACAATGTTCGTTCAGACATTCACAGTTTTGGTATTGTTCAGTTCATATCAACGCATTTTATTCAATTCAGATATTATTTCAATAGTGCTCTTAAATTATTCTTAATCTAAGGCCAGATCATAACAACGCTCTTAGCTATTCTTAGTCTAAGGCCAGATCATAATAATGCTCTTAGCTATTCTTAGTCTAAGGCCAAATCATAATAATGCTCTTATCTATTCTTAGTCTAAGGCCAAATCACAATAATGTTCTTAGCTATTCTTAGTCTAAGGCCAAATCATAATTTCCATAACCAGATTCTTTTAAGGCAATTATTGATCAGACACTTAAACTATCATTAGTTTAAGGCAATTGATTTCGGACACTTAACTGTAGTCAGTTAAGGCAATCAGACACTTAAACTATCACTAGTTTAAGGCAAATGATTCGGACACTTAATTGTAGTCAGTTAAGGCAACAACAATATAGCGATTGATCAACATTGGATCGGGCATTCCCAAACGAGTAATCCTCTAGTTGGTCTACGAATCCCGTTTATACATTTTTATCTAATTCATCAAATATTCATGTTTTCATATGTCTATTCTAATACAAGATCTATTCTAGAGGTCTTCTAGATAGCCTTAACATCAATTAACTAATGGGTATATCTTAGAGTTCTTCTAGATACCGTTAACAATACAAATCGTTTAATAATTATTAATATATTCATTTTACTCATGGTTCAATCATAAATAATAATTTTAATCAGTACGTTCATCATTCATAATCATCCATAATAATCATTCATCATAATCATCAATCAACATATCAATTGATAACAAATAGCGGTCTAGTTTCGAGTGTTAACACCCGAACTTACCGTCATGCATCACATAACATTTTTATTTGTTAAAAAAATCATTTTTATTGTAAAGAATCATCCTTAAAATAATCATAATCAATTGGTATCAAAAATAGGATTTTAGAGCTCAAAAATAGCAATTTAAGGCAAATTTTCGGATCAGAACTTCGGGGGATCGATCCCACCCTCTAGATCGATCCATACTATGAAAAATCACTCCCAGGGGATCGATCCAAGCCCCTGGATCGATCCAGACAGTGGTGCTTCAGCCACTGTTCATCTTCTTCTTCGTTCGGGTCCAATTTCGGAAATATCGTTTTTAGTTATCGAACTTCAACGCAACTATATAGAGATGTTCTCCAAGGTTCATAGATCATTTTGGAATCATTAATTCATAGTTTTAACATCAATTTCATGGTTTATGATTCTTGGTTCTTCAAGCATGTCAAACACAAAACTCAACCAAACGACCGTTTATGAACGTAGAAACGATCTATATGAACATTCTAGTCACTAGATATATCTACGGGCTTACTTCGAAGCTTATCGAAGGTTTTGAGAATTTTCTGGTGAAACTTCCGGCGATGATAACTCCCAACTCCGGGGACTTCGGCGACCACCAGCTACTGCAACATGTTCTCCTCACTGTCATTAACACTTTGGTACTAAATTCATTAGTTTTTGGTGAAGAATGAGAAGGTTGATGGTGGCTTATATAAGAAGAGAATGGGGAAGGTGACAATATTGCTGCGTAGGATTTGAGTAGGAATACATCTTCGATCGACTGAGTGGAGTAGGAGGCGCCGTCCCTGATTGGGACTAATTTTGGTCCCAATCGGGGTACACTTTTTGGTCCAACTTTCTCTGAATTTAATTCCGTTTGCACCGTTGCGATCGGACAGTTAAACTCTATCCAACGATATAATTTTCATAATTATTTGTAATACTTTTTCTGACATCATATTTTTGGGTGTTTGACTTTAACAGAGTCAAAATTGGTTTAATTGACTTTTATCATAAAAGGTTTTCACACTTAATTTATTCTCATGGTTTATTTCAAGAATTTATTTCAAAGTTCATATCACAACAATATCTTCATTTATCCCTGATTTGGGTCTATACTCTGGTTCTCAATCAAGGTCACACAATAAGTCAATCAGGTTGAATTTATCTCTATAAGATTTATCCGAATTAAGATATTGGATATCAGAACATTTTTTTTTTGGCCCAAAGCCTAACAATAATTTATTTTAATCAAAACAAATTTTGTTTAATTGAATATTTAATTCAATAAATTTTAAGGTATATTTTGGGGCGTTACATTGACAATGTCAATCTAATTCTACTTTTAAAATATATTTTTATTACTACTTGTAATTTGAGTTTCTAAAGTTTTGATCTTTTATAAGGATGAGATATTTTAATAAAAATACTATCTCTTCTATATATTGATTATCTAAATTTAATTACTTTTTAATGTATATCTAAATTAGCTATTTATTCTAATGTATATATGAAGTAATTATTAAAACATTAAATTAATATTCTAATTTCACAAAAAATAATCATAAAATAAAAAAATTATTACATTATAATATGTATTATTATTCTAATATATGAATTAACTATTTTTATTTTATTAAAAAATAATCATTAAATAAAAAATATTGATTATGTTATAATATAAATTATCATTACAGTTTTCAAACGTTATTATAAAGTCAAATCAAATTATTGATTTGAAATTTTAAATTAAATCATAATTAATCAGATCAGACCAGATCAGAACTTATTAGAATCAGATCAGAAAAAATAAGTTGAACGGAACGGAGCCTTAATTTCACTTTTACGAAACTTAAAAAAATGCTGAAAAGTGAAAAACTTGGAATTAATATGGGTTAAGATGAGTTCGAAAAATAATCAAAGTGGTGTGTGTTAAACTTTTTGAAACCATAAAGAGTTTAAAAATATCTTTTGAAATGAGAGGGGTATTAATGCCCATTTTTTCAAACTACAAGAGACATTTGAGTTATTTCTTCTGAAAGTTAGAACAGTTGTCAACCGTCCATGCACGCCTACTACTCAAGAAATCCATTATTTGTCATGATTAACAATATGTTACTGTTTTACACGTGACAAATCAATATCGATTAATTTTTTTATTTGTGATGAAAAAAATACATCATTGAATCGCACGCTACTAAGATTATCTTTAGTGGACGTTGCTTCACTAAACAACTTTTTTGAAAATAGAGTAAGTGGTGCTCCACATGTGGTCTACATAAACTTCAAAACATCTTTTTTCTAAGTGAAACAACTTATCAGAAACTTTTAATTAAAGATGATTTAATGTTATTTATAAAGAAGTTTTTTGAAATTTAAAATGGATACTTTATCATGGAGTAATTCTTTGTAATGCACTTCGTGCATCATGAATAATAAGATACTCCATAATACATTTTTCTTTTATAACTATGTGTAATAATTTAGAATCAGTCATGTTACTTGGAATACTCTTTAATTCTTAAAAATAATTTATATTAATTAAAAAAAATTATGCGCAACACACGAGTACAAGATCTAGTTTGTAACAAATAAGGTGAATTTTTTTAAGTGAAATTTGCACTAAATAATACTAAACATCATAATTAGTAATATACGGCAAACGTATAATACGTACGTTCGTGTATAATACGTTAGGATTTTATAAAATACAGCTTACTATGCATAATAAGCGTTTGGCATACAGATACGGATAAGTACGTGTTTTAAACGTTTTCTATTTTTAAAATATGTCTTTTTATATGTTTATATATATTATCATATATACGTCAAATTGACACATATTTATCAATTGATAGTCATTAACTTACATTACGGTAAATAAACAAAATACAAAAATATTTTAAATGAAATATTTACAATAGATTTTTTCAAATTAGAATCTCTATTTATTTAACATATTTATTTGAAAAAAATATATACTCCCGTCATTTGAAAAAATATCCTTATTATTTGACTTTCATGTACATAGTTTAAAAAATGTTAAAAATAAAAACTTTATAGTTTGAATATATTTAGAAAAAAACAAATAAGAGTTGTGAGTTACTCGTTCCTTTATAAAAATAAAATGAATTTTTGAGACATACAAAAAGAAAAAGAGTGAAGTCTTTTTTTGAACGTGATAAAAAAGTATAAAATTTTTTGTAGAATGTAGATAGTATATATTTTTTCAAATTGATTGAGTATTGTATGTATAACTAATATGAAGTATTACTTGTATTTTGTTTAAATATTTTTTGGAACAAATTAATATTTGTTGTTGTACAAAAAAATTTATAATAAAATATTCAATTCATACGCACTATACGTAATTATACGTGTATTTCAAAGTATTTTTGAAAATCATACGGATACGTGAGTATAATACGCGTATTATACGTACGTAAGTATAATACGTGTATTATACGCGTATTAACTAACTACGCTAAACATATCTCTTTTCCTATTGTAGTACTTAATTGTTTTTATTTTCTAAATAGTACTTAAATAATGTCTAGTAGCGGGAACAATATCTAGTGATGATGAACATTTAATTTGAACAATGTCCGGTGACGGGGAATATTATTTGAATAATGACCAATGGAGATTGAGCCGTGGTACTAAATTCGAAAATAAAAACATATGGTATTAAGTTTGTAAAATCAATATATTTTAATACTATTTAGATAAATTCATTTTTTAAATAAAAATACTACATAAGAAATGGATCTAACTATACTAAAAATTTTGTACGTTTGAAACATGACTATAATTAGAGTAAAAAAGAGTCTATATATATATTGGAAAGTGTCCGTCGGTTTCTCCGACTTCCATTTGCTCGCCCGCTGGTTTTCGTTTGCTTGCGCCTCTGATTCCCAAAGGTTTATTCTCCTCCCCGATTCCATCGATTAGGTTATTTCTGTAGGAAGCTCGTATAAATGGTCTCACGTTTTGTTCTTCCTGGTCTTTGCCTTTTGTACTGAAGCGATCAGATCTAAGGGAGAGAAAGAAGAAGATCCAAGGAGAGATGGGTAGCTCTGGAATCTCATGGGAATTGAAAGATCACCCCAAGCTTCCCAAGGGGAAAACAATCGCTTTGATTGTCTTGGACGGATGGGGCGAGGCTAAGGCCAATGAGTACAACGCTATTCACGTTGCTGAAACTCCCACCATGGATTCTCTCAAACAGGTTTTTGTTTCTTCTTATTCTCTGTTTTGTCCTTCAAGTTTCTTAATCCTTTTTTTTTCTGATTTATTTACCGAATGAGGATGTTCCTTCTTTCATTCTGTTCCTTAAAAATCAATATGTGCTTCCTGAATTTATGTACGTCTGTGACTACATAAACTGCACTGTAATGGCTTTTTGTTGTGGGAATGTGTCAAGGGTAATCCGGATACATGGAGGTTGATCAAGGCACACGGCAATGCAGTGGGGCTTCCTACAGAAGATGACATGGGCAATAGCGAGGTTGGCCACAATGCCCTTGGTGCCGGAAGGATCTTTGCCCAGGGGTCTGTTCATTTATTACTACCCTTCATTTTACCCTTTTCGTATTAATATGTGTATAACAATGCTATATGGATGCATACAATACACAGACACGCACCATTCTAGAACTGAAAAGAATCCGAGTTTCAGCTTTAAACCAAAGATAAAGATGAACTTTGGTCTTGCCTTCTTTCCTCTACTTTTTGTCTCAGTATTTTACTGCAGCGGGAAAGATTTACCTCAGTTCTATGATGAGTACTCTGCAGTTTTACAGTATTTTCCTTTAACCAATTAAGTTACTTCACATTGGTCTGGATAGCTGAACTGTATTAGAAGTATCTTTTAGTTGTAGATATTTCTTGTTAGTCATACTTGACTAAGAATTTAACTTGAGATTGTTGTCTAGGAACATTGAATGGTGTTGCTTATTTTCAATACTTCATCTTTTTTTCTGTGCAAGTCAATGTTTTCCCCCAATTTTTATCTGCAGTGCAAAGCTTGTTGATTTGGCCCTTGCTTCTGGAAAAATCTATGATGGAGAAGGTTTCAATTTCATTAAACAAAGCTTTGAAGCTGGAACTCTACATTTAATTGGGCTATTGAGTGATGGAGGTGTCCACTCCAGGCTTGATCAATTGCTGGTATCTCTTTAAACTCCATATTGAATTATTGTTGTGGTATCTAGAGCAGAAATATGTATTTTGCATATCCTTAATTTCCTTCTCCTGTCTTTTGATATTTCTAGAGAATTGGATGGTTTACTCCTTCAATTCCAAATAAAAGATCCATTTTGAGCTGGCATTGAGTTTAAGAAAAATGTTGAAAAGTGAAAAGTGTGTGGTTGTAATTGATTTGAAAGAGAAAAATAATGGTGGCCACATATTATTTACAAAGAAATGAACTTTTATTTTGCGACGGATTGAAAAAGAAAGTGTTGTTTATTTGGGATGGAAGGAGTATAATGTTTTGATCAATCCTTGCCTTTTGATGTTGAACAAGAGAACATTATTAATCCTACTACATATTCTATAATACTATTCTCGTGCAGTTGTTGGTGAAAGGGGCTGCGGAGCGTGGTGCCAAAAGGATTCGTGTCCACGCATTAACGGATGGGCGTGATGTCCTTGATGGTTCAAGCGTAGGATTTATGGAAACTCTTGAGAATGATCTTGCAAAATTACGCGGAAAAGGTATTGATGCCCAGGTTGCATCAGGCGGAGGTCGCATGTATGTGACAATGGATCGATACGAGGTAAATGTTCTTAAGGATGTTTGCCATACTATTGTTACTTTTATTTGTAAGAGATTGTTTGCTAATACTTGAAGTGTTTCATTCTGCTGAAGTTGGGCTGAAATGACTAAATTTGTGAAAAAAATAATTTTGTAATTAATTGCTTAATTTAATTTCTAAAATAGGCATGAGTTTCAATATCAGGAATAAAATGATGATGTGCACTAATTTATTCATTATAAGCTGATTTAGCCATCACTTTGAAACATAATTAGTGTCTGGTGGACAAAGCTTGATGATAAGGCTAGTAAGCTGAAAGCGTAGCATGCCAAATGCGCACTTATGGCCTTTCTGTGCCTTCAATAAATCTTTTTCTTCAATCTTCATATGTAAAAACCTCCCATCCCTCTCAAGTCTCATCTAAAAGAAGCAAGAACTGAGTAACACTTGACAATGTGCAGAATGATTGGGATGTTGTAAAACGAGGTTGGGATGCCCAAGTTCTTGGTGAAGCTCCAAACAAGTTTACAAATGCTCTTGAAGCAGTCAAGAAGCTGAGGGAGGTTCCCGGTGCAAATGATCAGTACTTGCAACCATTTGTCATTGTTGATGAAAATGGGAAGCCTGTTGGGCCCATCGTAGATGGTGATGCTGTCGTAACCTTCAACTTCCGGGCAGATCGGATGGTTATGCTAGCAAAGGCCCTTGAATATGAAAATTTTGATAAATTTGATCGTGTTCGGTTCCCTAAAATCCGGTACGCTGGGATGCTACAATATGATGGAGAGTTGAAGCTTCCAAGCCATTATCTTGTTTCTCCTCCTGAAATTGACAGAACTTCCGGGGAATACCTTGTGCGTAATGGCGTTCGTACTTTTTCTTGTAGGTAAGTTTTCTATCCAGGATTATACATTGTTAGCTGGTCTCATTCATTCCATTTATATATGTTTTTGTGTCTTTTAGTACTGTTGTAAGGCCACATTTTGTGGGTGTTTCTCGGTGCTTATAAGCTGGTCAAAATTGCTTATAAGCAGTTTCTAAGTTATAAGTCAGTGATGACATGTTTCTGTGTGCTTATAAACTGATTTATAAGCTGCTTATAAGCCAAAAAAATAAGTAGGTCTTAACTACTTATTTTTAAGCCAATTTTTTCATTTCTCCATTTTGACTAGATTATTTACAAAATGTTCCTCACCGTTTATGAATATTTACAAGTGATTTATATATCAATTTTTATCTGTGGAAATATCATGAAATTATAATGTTAGAATCTTTTTAAAGATGAGTCTCATCTTCCTGTAGCATATCAAGGTCTGAAATCTTGATCAATGATAAGTTTTTGCGAACCTTTTGGATAACATATTTCCTCATGTGTGTGTGACACATATCAAGGTTTCCAGTTTATACTTATAGGGAGTAAACTGACAAAAACAATAAAAAGGGCAGTATATAAAAATAAATGACAAACAGAAATTAAGGATAGGACAAGAGTGTATAGAGAGAACTCTCATATCCCCGCAAGAACACTCTTGAGACTCTTCTCTAGTGTTGAATTTGGTTTATTAATTTAATACGGAGTACATTGCATTTTCATTACTTTTGCTCTCTTTACTCGCCATCCGTTTAGAAAAACAGGCGAGATGCAAGACATTCCTTTTTGTAGAGTAATCCCATGCTTGTCTTGTCTTGTTTTCTTATTTAATAATCCCTCCATCCCATAAATCTAGTTCGTTATCTTTTTGGTGCACACGATTTAATAAATGATTGCTAGGTTTTGGAACAGTGCATATCTCATTTTCACCCTTTGTAAATTGTAAAGTTATCAGTTTCCTATGCAAGTACTCCATATGTTATAGTACTCCATGTTTAATTTTGGATCTTGATGATTATGTGTTAACTTGGAAATAAAAAATTGAATGCACCCAAAAAACTGGAATAGCTCTATGGTTCGCGGATCAAAATAGAATAGTGGGCCTCCTTTGGTGTAGAAAGTATTCTCTTGTTATAAAATACGTAGTTCTCAGTTATTAATTATGCATGTCTCTGTTCTTGGACAGTGAAACAGTTAAATTTGGACATGTCACTTTTTTCTGGAACGGGAACCGGTCTGGATATTTCAATGCTGATTTGGAAGAGTACGTTGAGATTCCAAGTGATGTTGGGATAACATTCAATGTCCAGCCTAAAATGAAGGCAACAGAGATTGGCGAAAAGGCTAGAGATGCTATCCTTAGCCGCAAATTTGACCAGGTAGATAAATCTACACAAAAGGCAACAGAGTTTGGCGAAAAGTGTCTTCTAACCGTAGTTTGTTTGGTGTTGTAGGTACGAGTTAACATTCCAAATGGTGACATGGTGGGGCATACTGGTGACATTAAAGCAACTATTGAAGCTTGCAAGTCTGCCGATCAAGCTGTCAAGGTAAATTCATCAACTTTTCAAAGGTTTCTTCAACTTTAAACTGTTTTTTTTCTTGCATTAACCTTTATGTTGGAGTTCTAAATATAAACTGGCCTATCTGTTCTGACTTCTGACTGATAAATTGTAGTTTGATTTTATTTATACATCTAGAGACTAAGTCCTACCATAGTCTTGCATGAGATCTAAATGGTTATTTGCAACGATAGAAGCACAAGTATCATGGTCATTTAAATTTGACTGTTTTCTTCCCTTCTGTGTACTTAGTGGTTTTGAGAGCTTTTTTTTTGTTTTTGTTTGCAGATGATCATTGATGCAATAGAACAGGTTGGTGGAATTTATGTTGTAACTGCAGATCATGGAAATGCAGAAGACATGGTGAAGAGGAACAAGAAGGGGGAGCCACTTCTCGACAAGAATGGAAACATCCAGATCCTCACTTCTCACACTTGTGAACCGGTAAGCAACTACAACAACACTCATACCTTTCTCTCTGCCATGTTCCTAAACGCAGTCGTTCTTTTACCTCACTACTCCACCTACTACAAGGGCAAACTTGGAAGTAGTGCATGCATTGTTTTTTGTCTGAAATGATTGAAAAATGAGAGATAGCTCATATTTTTGTTTTTTTAAGGTACCTATTGCGATGGGTGGGCCCGGGTTGAGCAAAGGAGTGAGATTTCGCCGAGATGTCCCAACAGGTGGTCTTGCTAATGTCGCTGCAACGGTTATGAATCTGCACGGATTTGAAGCGCCAGATGACTATGAGTGCACATTGATTGAAGTGGTTGACAACTAAAGATGAAATTGTTTTTTTACACATTGTATGTTGTTGATTTTTAAAACCTTTTTGGGGGGCTTTATGGAAAGCATTCAGCACAAACATACCGAACCCCAGATTTTGTCTCAAAGAATGGGTTTCCAGCCCTTGATGGTTTTGGATGTAGTTGTCACTTGACAATGAGTTTTTTTATTAATACGCAGTAATAATAATTACTCCATCCCTAAAACATTCTTCCCCGTTTTGGTTTATGAGGATTGATTGGTGTTTATTGTTTTCAATTCAATTTATTGAGTTATAAGTGTACAATTTAAAAATAGAAAATATATATTTTTGAACCATGGAGTATATCTAAAGCTCCACAAAACAAAACAAGAGGTGAAAGAATTATATTATTTTATCGAATAATTAATAAAAATAAATATAAAATAAAAGTGATTAAAGATGGTTCGCTAGTGCTTTAATGACATGTTTCCCTCATTATTAAAAGTATTAAATTATTATTCCGTATTACTATTGATTTTAATCTGAGCATTAAATGATTTTATAGGTTAATATGACTATTAATGCTACTAGTACTTCATAATGAGTAATGCTAGGTTTAGAGACAGAATACTCACAAACTTCACAAATTTATTATTCATGATTTAAATTTTTATTTTACAATTATTTTAGACTATTTAGTTTTTTCTATTGAAGTTCACAAATAGTAAGTTTGTAAAGTTTGTGATCAGTGTGTTTGTTAACCAAATAATTCTCCTTCATAATTACAGTTAGAGCAATGGAAACGCCCATGACGTCGGGGTGGGCGTTTAATGCCTCCTCGGCGTTAAACACCGCCCCCTTCGGGCTTCATCTCGGCGTCATCCCACTGCGTTAACCGTTTAACGCACAATTTTCCATTGATTCCCCCCCCCCCCTCCCTCCCAACGGCTATTTTAGCCCTTACACCCCCAAAAAAAACTTTAATTTACCTTTTTTTAATAAATATTAAACATTAATCTATAATCTTCTTCACATCTTTCCTTTCTTCAATCTTCAATTTCATTCACACACATCTCTTCAATTTTCTTTAATTTTTTTAATTTTTGTTAACATGAATATGTGAGGTAAGTTAAAGCTGACGTGGCAGAGAGAGAAAGTTTGAAGCCACGGGGCTTCACGAGTATTACCAGTGCTCTTATATTCATGTGACATTGTCTTTCAATGTTATAGTATGACCGTACCTGAGCCTATTATGGTGCTTCGTTTAAAAATTTTATGGTTATTACCTCCCCCAATCCCCTCTTGCCTCCTTCCTGCACCCCTCCTTTCGTCGATTGCCTACAGTAACTACTGTAACCAATCGGGGAAGAGAAGGGGGGCAATAACTATTAATTTTTAGCAGAGCATTGTAAGAGGGTGTTTGGCAGTGCGCTGCTTTTAACAATTTAGTTTCTGCTTTGAGTGGAAGTGATTTTACTCTGTTTGTCATGTCAATTTCTACTTTTCACCAACATTATTTTGTACATGGAACACTGTTTCGGAGAAGCAGAGATGAAATACTTTTGCTTTCAACTTTTGTAGAAATCACTTTATCCATAAGCTAATCACTCCCAAACACCCTCTAAGAAGTTCTGATCATGTTATGACATTGATCTCAATATCACATGAATTGCTCTATTGTTACCGTAGTTATGAATAATTTTTATTCAAATCGATTGTATCATTATTACTCTGCATCACTTTTGTTAGTTTGACACTAGAGAATGGCGTAGTACTCGTTATGTACCTAAATGAATTATATTTTATGCAAAATGAAATAAAACTTCAAGTTTTCTTATGGGGGATTTACCTAAATAATATTAAAGGATAGTTACTTTTCAATGTAGTGTCATATGTTTTTATTTCTCAATGTAGTACCACTGGTTGTTGTTCAAGTTAATGTCCTACACCACTGGACATTGTTCAACCTAAATATTCATAATCACTTGATTGTTTGTGCCACTAGACATTATATTCAAGTACTATTTAGGAAATAAAACTTATATATTTAAAATGTACATTAAAAATTCAACAAAATAAATGATAACAAGGATATTTTACCCCGTATCTTATAAAAAAATTAATAAGAAAGTACAAACAAATAAAAGTGTTCGTGATTTTTTTGAATTATGAGAGGGACGGAGTGAGTATTACCCAAATTTAGGAGAGTATTTTTGTAACGCCCCAAAACATATCCTAATATTTATTGAATTAAATATTCAATTAAATAAATTTGTTTTGATTAAAAATAAATTGTTGTTGGGCCTTGGGCCAAAATAAAATATGTTTTGATATCCAATATCATAATCCAGATAAATCTCATAAAGATAAATCCAATATGTTGACTTACTGTGTGACCTTGATTGAGAACCGGAGTACAGACCCAAATCAAGAATAAATGAAGAATTTGTTTGTGATGTAAACTTTGAAAAAATTTATTGAAATAAATAATGAGAATAAATAATATGAATGAAATGTAAAAACCTTTCTGAATAAAGGTCAAAAAATCAATTTTGACTCTATCAGAATCAACCACCTAAAGATATGATGTCGAAAAAAGTATTACAAATAAATATGAAAATTATATCGTCGATAGAATTTAATTATACGATCGCAACGGTGCAAACAGATTTCAATTCGGAGAAAGTTGGACCAAAAAGTGTTCCCCGACTGGGACCAAATTAGTCCCAATCAGGGACTTACGTTTAAAATCGGAGAAGACAGCAGCCCGCTCCACCCAGCCACCGAAACAGTCGAAGGAGAGGTCATCACTGTGTCTTCATCCTCCTTCACTTGGCTATATAAGGGTCATCTTCATTCCTTCAATTCCTCACCATTTCTTACAAACTTTCTGTCTATTTTGTTGCTCGGAGTGAGGAAAACGCAGTGGTGTTGTCGTATTGGTGTGAGGTCGCCGGAGATAGTCACAATCCTCGCCGGAAGTTTCGCCGGAAAAACTTCAAAACCTCCATTACACTTCGAGGTAAGCCCGTAGATATATCTAATGACTAGAATGTTCGTATAGATCGTTTCTACGTTCATAAACGGTCGTTTGGTTGAGTTTTGTGTTTGACATGCTTGAAGAACCAAGAATCATAAACCATTAAATTGATGTTAAAGCTATGAATTAATGATACCAAAATGATCTATGAACCTTGGAGAACATCTCTATATAGTTTCGTTGAAGTTCGATAACTAAAAACGATATTTCCGAAATTGGACCCGAACGAAGAAGAAGATGAACAGTGGCTGAAACACCACTGTCTGGATCGATCCAGGGGCTTGGATCGATCCCCTGGGAGTAATTTTTCATAGTATGGATCGATCCAGAGGGCTGGATCGATTCCCCTGAATTTCTGATCCGAAAATTTGTTTGAAAATGTTATTTTTGAGCTCTAAAATCCTATTTTTGATACCAATTGATTATGATCATTATAAAACTGATTTTTCACATTAAAAGAAATATTTTTAACAAATAAAATATTATGTGATGCATGACGGTAAGTTAGGGTGTTAACACCCGAAGCTAGGCCGCTAATTGTTATTGATTATTATGTTGATTGATGATTATGGTAATGATTATTGATTGATAATTATGATGATTAAATCTTAATAAATATTCTGATTAAAAATGATAATTGTGAATGATTAAAGCATAATGAATATATTGATGATTGTGAAAATAATATGTATTGTCAAGGGCATCTAGAAGACCTTTAAGATATACCCATATTAATGTTGATTTGAAAGGTATCTAGAAGAACTCTAAGATATACCCATATTAATGTTGATTTGAAAGGTATCTAGAATAACTCTAAGATATACCTATATAAGTTAGGCCTTGCGGGTATGAACCCCGGTGGCTAGGGTTAAAACGTACGTACGGGATACAAGAACCAAACTTGAGTACCTACTCGTTTGGGGGTACCACCCACCCAACAGTGAACACTACGCTGTCGGTTTTTGGTTGGCCTTAAGTGAAGGTAAGTTTAAGATTTTCAAAATCCTTTTATCTTAAACTAGGCCTAGCTTAAGGATTATTTAGGAATATTTTATACTGGAATATAGTTTAATTATTTAACTAGAATTCGTGTAAGGGTTGACAAATATTAAAGTGATTGGCCTTAGGCTAAGAATAGTTTAAGGATATTGTTGAATGTTGAATATTGAATATTGAATATGAATAAATATTGAATGATGAATATTGAATTGAATATTGCAATTATTATGAATGACTAGTGAACATTGAATGTGAATATAAATGTTGAATAATGAATAATTTTAAATAATTATTGATTATCTGAACTGAATATTATGTGCATGATATCAAATGATTTGATTATGAATTTAGATTCAGTTTATATGGATGTTTGATGAATTAGATATGCTTACTCAGCTTCAACGCTGAGCGTGTAGTATGTTTTATTTGCTACACGCAGGTTATTAGAAAGAATGATGTGACGTGATCCTGGAGGCGGACGGAGGCGAGACTGTCGGAATGGATGTGATGTTTTGAATTAAAGAACATAAATAAATTATGTTTGTAATTATGATTTGTTAAGCTTCCGCAATATTGAAAACTCCGTACTCTTTATGATATGAAAATATTATTGTGATAAATAAAAGTGTTTGAAATGTTTTAAATTTTTACGATTACCAAGTTAATACTTTAGTCCGAAAGGGGCTGCAGACCTGGACGGATTAGGGTGTTACAATTTTTCCGTTATTGTTGCTAAAAGGCGATATTCAGACCTATTTTCCTTGGCTTTAAAAAAACTTAATTTTCTACATCAATTTTAGGTGCTTCTACCTTAAATTTTGTATCGCGCGCATGTAATCTGTCCCTTGTTTCTTTTTGAAATATGGTGGTCTGGTCGAGCCGAATAGCATCCTTTTGAGGCTTCCAGTAATTTGATTGCAACCATTCAAGTGCCTAAAATCATTACAGCACACTTAGAGAACTATGAAACAGCTGAGCTTCCAAAAAAAATAAATTTATAAAGATATGAAGTACTAGTAACAGCAATAAAAACCAACTATGAGGTTACAATCCCCACCTCTCACTCGGACTAAAGTATTAACTTGTAATCGTAAAATTTCAAAACATTCGAATACTTTTATTTATCACAATAATAATTTTTCATATCATAAACAATACGGAGTTTTCATTGTTGTGGAAGCTTAATAAATCATAATTACAAACATAATTTATTTATGTTCTTTAATCCAAAAAATCACATCCATTCCGACGATCTCGCCTCCGTATGCCTCCAGAATCACGTCACATCAGTCTTTCTATTAACCTGCGTGTAGCAAATAAAACATACTACACGCTCAGCGGTAAAGCTGAGTAAACATATCTAATGTGTCAAACATCCATATAAATTGAATCCAAATTCATAATCAAATCATTTGATATCATGCACAAAGTGTTGAGTTCAAATATACAATAATCAATATTCAACATTCGTCATTCAATATTCATATTCAACATTCAACATCCTCATTCGACAATATCCTTAAACTATTCTTAGTCTAAGGCCAATCTATTTGATGTTTACCAACTCTTAAACGAATTCTAGTTTAAGATATTTAAACTATATTCGTGTTTAAGGTACTCTTAACTAACCATTAAGTTAGGCCTAGTTTAAGATACAAATTTTCAAAAAGAGGTTTTCAAAATCTTAAACTTACCTTCGCTTAAGGTCATCCAGAAACCGAACAGCGGAATGCTCACTGTCGGGTTGGGTGGTATCCCCAAACGAGTTCCTCCAGTTTGGTTTGTAGATCCCATACGTACGTTTTAATCCAGGCCACCGAATATTCATAATTATACCCGCAAGGCCTATTTCTAAGCCATCTTAGAGGTCTTCTAGACAGTCTTAGAAACCAACGTCAACCTAGATATATCTTAGAGTTCTTCTAGATATCCTTACAATTCAAATCATTTCATAATCATCAACATATTCATTTCAATTCATAACTTAATCTTCAATAATCATTTTAATAAGTAGTTTCATCAAGTCATAATCATCATAATAATCATTCATCATAATCATCAATCAACATAACCTTTAATAACAAACAGCGACCTAGTCTCGAGTGTTAACACCCGAACTTACCGTCATGCATCACATAATATTTTATATGCCAAAAACATCATTTTTATTGTGAAAAATCATTTTTATAATAATCATAATCAATTGGTATCAAAAATAGGATTTTAGAACCCAAAAATAGCATTTTCGTAGCTAACTGTGTTCGGAACGGTCGACCGTTTCAGGTGACGGTCGACCGTCGTTGCCTCCGTTATACTGAAGCTACTGGTCCGGTAACGGTCGACCGTGGTGACGGTACGGTCGACCGTTGCTGCATAACAACAACAGTACTTCGTCTTCAACCTCAGATCACATTTTCGAAAAAACATTTTTAGCCACCAAACTTCAATTAAACTATATAGAAATGTTCTCCAATGTTCATAGATCATTTAATCACCATTAATTCAAAGTTTATGATTTCGTCAAGCATGTCAAACACAAAATTCAACCAAATGACCATTTATGAACGTAGAAACGACCTATATGAACATTCTAATCAATAAATATATCTACGGGCTTGCCTTGAAACTTAACGAAGGTTTTGGAAATTCTCCGGCAAAACTTCCGGCAACGATAACTCTTAGCTCCGGCGGTTCCACACCAAATTGACAGCACCACAACACTCTTTACACTCAAGGCTAACTTTTAAAAGAAATTTGAGGAAGAATGGTGAAGAAATGAGGAAATTGGCTTCCTTATGTAATGGAGAGATGAAGAAGAAGAAGCCAAGAATGTTTCCTTCACAAATCCTGCGATCGGCGTAGTGGGGAAGGAGGCGCCGTCTAAACAGTTCCCTGATTGGGACCAATTTTGGTTCCAGTCAAGGTACACTTTTTGGTCCAACTTTCTCCGAATTAAAATCTGATTGCATCGTTGCGATCAGACAGTCGAGCTCTATCCAACGATATAACTTTTATATTTATTTGTAATATTTTTTTTTCCGACATCATATTTTGGGTGTTTGACTTTGACAGAGTCAAAATTGATTCAATTGACTTTTATTCAAAAAGGTTCTCATAATTAACTCATATTAATTATTCTCATGATTTATTTCAATAAATCATTTTAATGTTCACATCATAATTAATTTATTCATTTATTCTTGATTTGGGTCTGTACTCAAGTTCCCAATCAAGACCACACAAATAGTCAATAAATTGGATTTATATCTATGAGATTTATCATGATTGTGAAATTGGATATCAAAACATATTTCTTATCAGCCCAAAGCCCAACAACAATTTATTTTAACTAAAACAAATTTGATTGATTTTAATAATTATATATTAATAATTTTAGGGTATGTTTTGGGGCGTTATATGAACCTTTCGTATTCTCATATTTAAACTTAAGCATTTAATTGTATGAAAGGAACAAGAAATGACTGCTCGCGCGCCGCCGCCGCCGTTCATCCGTCTCGGCGGGGCGTCGCACACGCCCGCGTCTACGGCGGGGCGTGGCTATTTTTTACGAGACCGAATCAAACACGTGTGTACACTTCATTATTAACGAAATGTATGTCATGCATGGATATATCCGAAGAGTCTGTGGTGACTCCTCGGTTGCTCCGCCCAAATTGTCCTAGTTCGTCCAATCCACCCAAGACATCTCCTATTTAAGGACGCCTTGGTCCGGTGAAGAAGTACTGAAAATATTCTGTGCGTCCAACATTCTTCTGCTTGATCAGTTTTCCGGCAATATCTTTCGTCGTTCTTATTCGTCGGTGCACGGTTCTACCGCCCTAGACCTTGCACGTTGCGATTTTATCTTGGGAGGAAATTGCCCACGTTTGCCAGTGTGGGAGGCGGGCAATACTACCTTAAGGAAAGCTCCGGCGACTCCGCTTTCCTGATCTTCACTTCGAGAAACTGCTCCGGCGACCCGCTACCATCCAACCGACGAACCTGCCGCCTCTGCTGTTTGTGTTCTTGCTTGTGCCATTCGTGTTCTAGCACCAGTCCGTTCGTGTTTGAGCTTCTGGAGATTCTAATTTTTCTTTATTTTATTTCCGTTGGAAAATCTGAACGGTTTATAAGTTCGGATTATTAATCTTTATTCCCGCTATTACTTGTAACATGGAGCTCCTCCCCGTTTCGCTCAGTTATATATCTATGATTAGGGGTGGGCAAACGAGTCCTGGAACCGTGAGTCGGAACCGAATCGATAGGTTTGGTCCGGGTTAGGGGCGGGTCCATTTTTTAAAAAATTATAACGGGTCGGTCCGGTCCGGGCCTTATAGGTTTTTGGACCAATCCGGTTCTCAATTTTAAAATTCTTCAAGACCCGGACCAACCCATTAGTTAATAATCCATATTATTATTAATTATTATTATTTGTATTACTCATTTACTTGGGCCAAAGCCCTACCCAATCTGCCAACTCCCAATCCTTTCGGTCTTTCCCAGAAGCCAGACCTTCAGAACCCTTTGCAGAGAGACGGACGAGCACAGGCTATGAGACGGAGAGACGGAGCTTCCGGGGCATACACGATGAGATCGATCTTCTGAAGCGCTGCGTGACCAGTGGTGTCCGGACACGAATTCCCCTATCGCAACTCGTCTCTCGCCCGTCAATCCATGGAACTCTCTATGACTCTATCTCTTTACTCTAACGCTTGCAAATCTCTGTGTTTAGCCGTAAACTATGATCATCTTCTTCGGTTTCGATTTTTTTAAGTCGGGGGGATCGAAACTAAGGTACGATTCAGTTGGGCTTTTACCTGAGCAGTATTCGACCATTTATGAGAGAAGATTCAATGAAACTTGTCAAAATAATGTTTTTTTACACAGTTCAGAAGTTTTTAGGTAGGAGATCTATGCGTCCAGATCCAATCCAAATCGCCTATCAAAAACATGATTATTTCTATCTATGATACACCAGAAGTTGGAAACAAGAAACTGAGAGAGGACTTTTGAAAAACCAGGACACCCGTAAATGGGGAAAACCTGCATCATTAAAAAAATACTCCGTTATCATTTTCCTTCTTTCCAACGGGTAAACTTGGTGAAAAATGTGAACTTAATTTAGGTGCTGAGAAGTTCACTAGGCCGTACAAGCAATAGTCTAATCCAGTAGCATTGAGACATAATCCAGTATCATTCTATGAGTAAGTAGTTCACCATGTATGTATTATTAAATTATTTGCACTTCTTTATATTTGCAATATTAGTATCATGAAAGTTTTGGACCCGTTGACCCGTGGAATCGGCCCGTTTCGAACAAGCCGGGTTAAGTCCGGTTTCAATTTTAAAATTTTGAAAACCCGTTCCGGCCCGGACCGTTAAAATAAAAACAAGTCGAGTCCGGTTTATAGAATTCTTGACCCGGACCGGCCCGTGCCCACCCCTATCTATGAAACATAAAATGAAATTGCAAATCAAATAAGTGCATTGAGGTATGTTTAAATCTTTTAATTTAATTTTTTTACAAATTTTCTAATTAAAATTAAATAATCATTTTATTGAATCATTAACTTCTACAATACTCCTCAGGGATAATAATGAAATGCAAACACTGCATGTTTACATTGTGGAGAAACTAAAGCAAATGTTAGATGAACATAATGTCTTGGTGAAGTCATTTCACATGTCCAGAGACAAGTTGATTGAATTTGGAGAAATGACAGTTCGTTTAAAACTGGTACAATTTGCCATCAGTTTTAGAAGTTATAGCATTAGTTCTGATAACATAATTCAAATGAATCCAAACAACAATTCAAAACATTTTTGAGTTCTTATAAGGTGTGCAAATCACATTCCACATGTGATTTATTCAGTGACTTGCATTCATCAGAATTTTTGAGCAACATCCGTGCTTCAGGCCTTCCTAATCATAAGCTAAATTTGAAAGTTGGCACTCCTATAATGTTATTAAGGAATATTGATCACACCATGGGATTGTGCAACAGTACGAGATTAATAATTACACATTTGGTAGCTCATTCAATACAAGGAAGAATTTTGACTGGTACGAATATGGGCCAAGAAGTAGTAATCCCACGATTGTCATTAACTCCTTCAGATCCACGAATTCCTTTATTGTTTCAAAGAAGACGGTTTCCTATAATGGTTTCTTATGCACTGACCATTAACAAAAGTCAAGGCCAATCATTGTCTCACGTAAGACTTTTACTCAAAAAACCTGCTTCCACTCATGGACAATTATACGTTGCAGTCTTAAGAGTTAGAGATCATAAGGGTTTAAAAATACTAATATGTGATGATAATGGCGATCTAAAACGTTCAACAATGAATGTTGTTTATAAAGAAGTATTTCATTATTTGTAAATGTTTTAGCAATGACTTCTGTACTCATTTTTCTTACAGTTTTTTAATGTAAAAAAAATCATCTCATAAATATCATTTCAGAGTATAAACATATAAAAAAAATATATTAATATCTACTACAGTAAGATAACTTTAAAAATTTTATTATTAAAAATTCGAAGCATACTTTTATCCGTGCAATGAACAAGTATGATTCTAGTACCTGGGCAAAGAAGACAACTCAAACTACTGCATTTAATGTCCATGTACTTTAAAAATTTCTTAAATCTATTCATTCAATGTGGAATGAAACATAAAGATAAAGTAACTCACGCAGACCGAGGTTGCTTTCCATCATGGATGATGTCGATCTACACGACTAGATCCACCTGGTTTTGTTGATAGCTTGAATACCTAAATACCAGTCCATTAAAATGGAGCCCAATCACAGTGAACCGGCCCAAAGAAAATGGTGGGAACACTATTTATTATATTATAACATTGTCCGGGTAGTTTAGTTCTAATTTTTCATTTTATACTTTTAAAATGATCATATCTTTAAATTCATAATTCATATCCTTTCTTACTCGTAACATATATAGTTGAATTTCTCTCTTCTAACCCTATTCAAAAATAATAATTTTGATTATAAAATATTAACTTTAAATTCTCTAATTTTTTGTCTAAAATACTATCGACAATTTATCTGATTAGAATACAAATAATGTCACTTTTACAATTTTACAATGCTTTTTTAAGCTTCAAACAAACATAGATTTTAGGTTTTTATTTTATTTTTACAAGTTTTCAACTCCTATTTTATAACAAAAATTCTAGGGGTATACCAAATGGCATGCCCTATTTGTACCCGCTCCATCCCCATCATACAAAAGCAAGAAAAAAAATTAAAAATGAAAAAATAGTGGGTGAAGATGCATGGAGAAGGTATACCCTGGCATTCCTCATTTTATAATTGTCCAATCAGAATTTAAAGCCACGTATAGTTGGCAGTTGGGATTGAAAATGTAAAAAATAATAATTTTAGAAGCAGACTTTGGAGTATTAGTTAGGGGTGAGCAAATTAACCAGACCGATCGCGAAACCGAAAACTGAAAACCGAAAACCAAAATATCCGAATGTTCGGTTTCGGTTTGCGGTTTCGGCTTTCATGTAAAAAGTATTTTTGGTTTTTCGGTGTTTCGGTCGATTTTTGGTTTTTTTTGTAACAAAAAACCGAACCGACCGAATAACCGATGATTTTATTTTAATTTATTTCTTATTTTTTAGAATAAGAAAATATTTGATTAACATACATGCTTTATTCTTACTCTTTCATGAAAAACTTTAATGTTTGAATTTTAAAAAAATTATTTGTTAATGTTTTGAATATATTAATAAGAAAAGTGCAATTTTTATATGAAATGGATAGTGTATATTCAAATAAAAATTAATCTACCTTACTAAATTAATGACAATAGAAAAGTCTTAATCTAAACTAATTTAATACATATCAATCTACCTCATCGAATTAGTTTCTTGAATTTATATTGAAAAGTCAAAATAAAAGTAATTAAAATTTGGTTTTTCGGTCATCTTTTTTGTTGTATGAGCGGTTTTCGGTTTCGGTTCGATCGGTTTTAGCTTATGATCGATTCGGTTCGGTCAATTTTCAACCATGTTAAAAAAAATCAGTTTTTTCGATTTCAAACCGAAACCGACCGTTGCTCAGCCCTTACTATTAGTATAAAATCACTCATTTAAAGGAGTATTTATGTAAATTAAATTAACCTGGGCCGGTTAGTGTTACTCCGCATTAAAGCCCATACTTGATATTGAAGTTTTGGGCCAGTTATTCAAGCCCACCCTGCTGCAAGTTTCTCCGACTAGGGTTTTGTATTTAATGTCTCCTCCTTATAGGGCGAGAGCATTTTCCTGTCACCCGTAGCCGCAGATCAGCAAGGAGAAAGGCATTTCCGCCATGGGTAGAAGTGAGACCTCTCTCCATTCGCTCTCATGTTTATGATTCTTTCATTCTGTTGTATTAATTTAACGTTCTTCAACGATTATCAGTCTCCTGGTGCCCTTTTGTCTGATTTTTTTCTCGCTGCGGCTGTATTGGACACAAAGAAATGATTTAATCCTGCACTGCTTTTATTTTAGTTATGTGTTTGTTTCGTTTGATCTTGTTCAAATCTGAAGCTTTGTTGAGATCTTTATTAGTTTTCTTCAGAAAATTACCTGCTGTATTCCGATCTTTGCAGCAGCATCTTGATACGGATATTTTGATTTCTATCCAGCTGAAGAGAACCCACGATTTCTTTTTCTATCTTAGTATTGAGATTGTTTTTATTCCCAATACTTTGAGTGGTTTTGAATGTATGTTCTTATAAAAAAACCTCTTCTAAAGGTAATCAAAACTTGTGTATTACTGACCAGAAAGACTTGTAAAAGTCATATGGATTAATATCTGGAACTGTGTTTATAACGATTTTTTGGTTTTGACTGTTTTCTTTCGAAGTCTGCTTTGTGTCTGTCCCATGTGCCATGTTCTTTCATTTTTACCTGCACTTGACATTTGCCCTTGTTTTTTTTAAGTTTTTGAGTATGTATGCAAGCGTTATTTTCTTGTTTGATTGCATACAAGTAAAATGAAACTCATGTTAGTAATCTCACTTTGCAGGACCAGCAAGGTGTTACCGCCAGATCAAGAACAAGCCGTACCCAAAGTCGAGGTACTGCCGTGGTGTGCCAGACCCAAAGATCAGGATCTATGATGTGGGGATGAAGAAAAAGGGGGTTGATGAGTTCCCCTACTGTGTGCATTTGGTCAGTTGGGAAAAGGAAAATGTGTCGAGTGAGGCACTCGAGGCAGCTCGGATTGCCTGTAACAAGTACATGACAAAGTTTGCGGGAAAAGACGCCTTCCATCTTAGGGTTAGGGTTCACCCCTTCCATGTCCTGCGTATTAACAAGATGTTGTCATGTGCTGGAGCTGATAGGCTCCAAACTGGAATGCGAGGTGCTTTTGGGAAGCCACAGGGGGTTTGTGCCCGAGTTGCCATTGGACAGGTTCTTCTTTCTGTTCGCTGCAAGGATGCCAATGGAGTCCATGCTCAGGAGGCCCTTCGGCGTGCAAAGTTTAAGTTCCCTGGCCGTCAAAAGATCATTGTTAGCCGCAAATGGTACTCAATCATCTCCTTTCGATTTATTATCTTCTTCTGATACTAGATTTTCCCCCAATTTTTTATACCCATTGTTTCCACTTTGATTTGGATCTGTTCTTTTTGTCTAGGGGATTCACCAAGTTGAACCGCTCGGACTATGTGAACTACAAGAAGGAGAATCGTCTTGTGAATGATGGTGTCAATGCCAAGGTTTGTTATTTCTTTCAATCAGTTTACTCCACTTAATCTTTGTTTTTGTTAGCTGAAATTGTCTCTATGTTATCATTTTTTTCTTTGTTAGAGTCTGAAATCTGTCTAGGAATTGGAATATGATCTTAATTATTTTTCTTCTACTCTCCAGCTCCTTGGATGCCATGGGCCACTCGCGAATCGTCAACCTGGACGAGCGTTTTTAACTGCTGTTTAAGACACCTTATTGGCACAATCCTTTGTTTTGGCGCATTTAGTGTTCCAATTTTGTGTTCAAGAAGATAATTTCTGCATGGAACTTATGTTTGTTTTTGAATTAATGTGGATTGCAACTGGTTTCTTTGGGTTGATATACATCTATTATGTCTTTGACTTGGATTTGTTTACTTTATTTCCTTCATCTTCATTCCTTTCAATTTTCACGGTTTCTTAGTCTCTTACCAAAATAAAACCACCCTAGCAACCATCCAATTTGCTTGAAGTTTCTCTTAAATACCCTCAAATTTTATTTTTTAATCCATTCTATTAAATTTTTATATTAAATGTTGTTCCGAAATAAAGTGCTTAAGAGTAGTTTCAAAATGAATTAGGATCAAGTTATCTTTCTCCTTATTTCTTGAACTCTGAACAAAAAGACGAACTCTAGCTTATGGGATCTCTTGGCTATTGTTCGAACAGTTTATACAATGTATACATAACCACCTTGTGCCCCCGGACATTTCTTTAACAATGAATAATATGATGGTATGTTTGGGAATATGGATTTGAATTTCAAATCTGGATTTAGCTCAAATTCTATGTTTGGGAAACTTTAAAATTTTGAATTAGGATTTGAGTCAAATTCTTCTCATTCATAACAAAGCTTAATTTGAAATTCATGTCTTTAAGAGTCATTCTTTTTTTTTAACCACTCATGTGATGCAGTATTTTTTGTTCAATCCTGTAACTTATTTCTTCTTTCCCAAAAATCTTTTACTTGTTCTTTTTAGCCATCTTAAAACATGCTTTTTTTTCAATTAGAATTTCTCTTTTATTCTTCTTAATTACTCCGTATTAACTTACATATCACATCAAATTTATTCATTATTAATCTACTTATCACATTTAATCAGTCTCAATCCTAAAATAAGGAGAAAATTAGAACGTCTTACCACAACTACATACAGAATTTTACGTATTCCTTAAATCCCACCGTTTTCTGAAGTAAAAAAATTTTATGGGGCAAAGGTAATATTACTGTGTACCCTTACCTTTGTAAAAACAATACAAAAGATAGTGTTAGAAAGGGACGAGTATTTGTTATGTACTCCGTATAAGTGTTGGAACGAGCTTTAATATTTGGAATATGAGTATTTGGTGAAGATTTGAATGGAAAGTGGAAACAATATCAAATAGAGCCGGCAAAACGGTCTTAGGATCGGGTTCGAATTCAATGACCTTGGGTTCACGTTACTTCGGGTTCGGGTTGAAAGCTACATGTTCAAGACCCAATGAGTTATAAGTGTCATTTATTTTTTGAAATTTTAAGTAATTTTTATGATCGGTTGTCAATATTACATATAAAAAAACTAAATATGCAAAAAATTTTGAAAAAAAGTAAAATTATTTTTCGATATCATTAAAATTTTGTATGAAAGTATATATTTATACATTAAAAGCGAGTGGTAAGCAAAGAAATATAATTAAAATCTTATTTTATAATATTATAATACATATTAAAGCATATAATTTTGAAAAATTCTTACATAAGTGGGTCGGTCAGGTCGGGTGTGAGTTTGGTTGGATTTGACCCATTTTTAATGGGTAATCTCGAGTTCGGTCAACTTCGGGTTCGGTCAGCAAAACCTTTGTTCAAAATTCAATATTTTTGGATTGGATCGCGTGTCAAAAACATGTCAGGTCATTTTTTGTCATGTCTAATATCAAATGGAACCAATTGAATGATTGATACGAGTTTTGTTAGACCCTTGATGCTTTGCTGCATTTACCATCACATCTGTGTAGTAAGTAGTAAGCATCACATAGTACATTTTAGGTGCCATTTTGATGTAATCTATTATTTATTTGAAGTAAAAATATTGTCAATTAAAGCTCAAATGGCCTATACCTAATTGAATAATGCAGCATCAAATGAAGGTTGGTTTCTACAAGCTGTCCAATTTTCCTGGAGTATCCACTCATTCCATTAGCAAAATAGTGTCAATAATGTTTTTGTTTACTATGAATCTAAACCATTGTCAATAATGCTTGACTCCTTTAGGCTATGGACAACAAGTTATAACAACTAGGGAGTAATTATGTTTGCCCCTACCCAAGAGTCCAAGACGGGAAGTCCCCAAAAATTGCCTAAAATTTACACGAACACCTAAAATTTGCGTATGGCCGAGCATTCCTCATGCAGTATGCTCCACAATGAACATTCAAGTTGTATGGCTCAAATCTCCAACCATAGTTCTTAACCTTATCAAATGTGTTCAATAAAAAAATGTTTCGGATCGGACTTTGTCCTTCACTAGCAACATGCAAACTCAGCAAAGTACATCGTACAAAGAAGCGAGTAACTACTACATACAGTGCACCTGGTTTCTTAGTTTGGCTTGAGACACCCCTCCTTGTCTTCCTCGACCTGGAATATAGCCCAATGGGTAATGGGTATCAGGGTATGGATCAATCCACTTATACCACAATGATCTGAGTATGTGAACTTTAACACTCAACAACGAATATAGAGCTACAACTCTTTCTAAGGTTGTTCCGGAACAAGTGTCGTATAACCTTACCCGAAAATTGGATATCATTGACCTTCAACCGGCGGAATCTTGCTAAATGTCTCCAATTGCTTGGGGGACAAGAACAAATTGTAGTTGTTTCACATTTTCCAATGTAACCACAGCTCAGAATTTTGCGTTGGAAATTGATGCCCTACTGCTATGGCAAGTTCCATTTCAGAAATAATCATGCTCAAAATAAGCAAGGGTAATCAAAAATTTTATACACAGCCTTCAACTGACAGTAACCTTAATAGACAAATTTCTAAGACAGACTAATCACAAGAAAGGAATGTCTGAAATAGAGTAACAAACACTAACCTGGGGGCAATCATTTTCCAAAATAAAGGCAAGAACAAAAAAACCTCTATATACAGGCTTTCTACCCACAATTTAACTTAAAAAACAACAATAGCAAAAATAGAACAGCAAGAGATACTTGGCATTCTGCAGAGATAGGCTGACTTTATCCATTCCGACTGCTGCATAACATGTTGGAAAATAACTAGGATCCTCACTCAATCATGTTTCCGTTTTAGAATTAATCCCATATACGCCTAATAGTATCTTTTGCTACATCGATGATCATCATTGCTTCTAACTGCTATGCATTTTTCATTTATCTGGAACCTGAAATATTTGAGTTAGATGGAATTCTACTGTGACCTAGACCACAAGATTGCCAACACTCAACAAGTCACATAAATATGCAACCTGTGTGGCATACCCTTATTAATTAAAGGCATGTCACGCCCAACGCAACAACTAGAAAACAAGCAAAAAAACAATTCAAAGAAAAGAAAAAGCTCACTTGTCATTATTCTTTCGACTTGTGTGCCTTTTCCTCGGCCTTCTTCTGATTTATCAAGTCTTGCGCCTTGCGTGCCTTTTCCTTCATTCCTGAAATCATCTCCTCTGTAGAATCCATTATTTGTTTTGGTAACTGAAACTCCAAATAGTCAAGCCAATCTCCTAGACTCATGGTTTCCAGGTCGAACTTTACTCCAATATCAGGGACACCCTTGCTTTCACCATGGCCAGCTTCTTTCCCACATTTACGCTGCTCTTCCTCCTCACCGCACTCCTCAATAGTCTTAAGTCTCTCTTCACCTCCACCCTTCTTTGAACGAGCGGGATTTGTTTCGTCCTTGTCTTCTTCCAAATGCACTGATGTGATACTATCAGCCTGTAAAACACTCTCTTTTGTACTTCTGGTGGTGACCCTTTTCGTCGTCACCCTCCCACGTCCTCTTCCTCGGGTTCGTCTTTGACCGCCAAGTTCATCTTCATTTCGTGAAGCAGTCTCCATCTCACTCAAACTCACTGCCTTCTCGACGACAGCACTTTCGACTTGAGAAGTCGAGCTAGTGAAATCCTCTACCTTTCTCGAATTCCTTGTTCTCCTGGGAGCTGCATTTTCCAATCCAATGCTCTCGACTTGAAGTTCAGCCTTGTCACAGTTCACCCTAGCCCTAGCACGAGTACGAGGACCACACCTCTGCATCTTCCCCAACTCTTCATCCCTAAACCCTAACTCTCGATTCTCAGCGGCATTCTGGTCGCCTTGCTCTGCTGTTTCTGCGGCTGCCTTCTGCCTAGGGTTTCTCCTTTGCTTGGTGGACGGGGGACCGAGACCTTCGATTCTGACGTAGATTGTAGTGAGCTCTCCGATTTTGATGGTGTCGCAGTCGGAGAGGGCGGCAGAGGAGGACGCTTTGACTTTGTTGGCGTTGAGAAAGGTCCCGTTTGAGGATCCGAGGTCGCGGATGATCCATCTCCCGTCGGAGGGATTGAATTCGATGGTGAGGTGATTGGAGGAGATGCCGGCATCTTTGATGGTGAGATTGTTGCCCCGCACGACACGGCCAACCCGAACAGTAGTCCCCGGCTTGAAATCCAGGGCTTGACCGGCGAGTGTACCTCTCTCCACGGTTAGCTTCAACATAGGCCCTTGAACTTCCCCTCCTTGAGCATACATCGTTTCTGGCTCTGTGTTTGTTTTCCGGCGGGCTGACTGAAATCCTGAATCTATCTACCGAGTATCTATTTGAGTCTTTGACAAACCACATAATTGTACAAATTAATTAAATAATTCTTCAAATCATACTCAATCACTATATGTTTTTCTAAATTAGTTTCCAACATTAAATAATTATAGAGATTGTACTCATTAATTGAAAATAATGATCAATTTAGTTTTCCGACTAACAGTTGGCAAAACAACATCAAAATGAAGTAAAGCTCATTAAATATTTATTCAAAATAAAAACTGTTTTCTCACAATAGTCTTTTCTAATTAAATATTTTTTCAAATTAGTCAATTTTTGAACTAAAGCTCATTAAATATGAAAAAACCAAAGCAGATGTCTTCCCTTCTAATTGAAATAATGTTTGACAGAAGTCGGAGAGCATTTTTTCTTAGTTTTTGTTTTTTAATTGGTCTAATTTGGGGGAAACATTCAATTAGAGATGATTACTCCCTTTGTCCCACATAGATCTTCCCATTAGTCTTTTTTATTTGTCCACCATATATCTTCTCATTACCTTTTTTAATGAGAAAAAATGGTAGGATGGGAAGTTTATTCTTGGACGGAGAGTGTATAAGTTTTAACATTGTTTTGACACTATTTTGACATATCTTAGTCGGGGGACAGATCTGAGCGTTATTCTCAATTAACAAGTATCATTTCGATAATTAATTAATCTTGGGGACTAATTTGGACACATATTGACTGAGTACCATTATGAGAATTTACTCAAATTAATTTTACTCAAAATCAAAATAATTCAGTCTTTGTACTATTCTTTTTTATTCAATCTAGTCCTTCTCTTTACATTTCTTTTATTTATGAATAAATTTCTTAATTGGCACATCAAAAAAATCTTAATTAGTCTTTATAACATGATAGATTCCGTATTTAGATCATGTTTTCTTTAACTTATTATTATTAATTATTACTTTTTTATTAGAATCAAACCAGATTAGAAAAAGATTTTAATATAAAGAAATATACTATTATATGAGTAAAACATAGGCTCTATTCCCAAAGTAGGAAGTAAAAGATAAACTCTCCTAAATATGAGTTATTAATATAATATTATCATAATCTTATTTCAATACTCTTGTCATTTTCAATAGCTTCTTCTCTGTGCAATCTTCCTTCTTTCATTTTCAATCTAATATCTTCTTCGATAAAGCGACTACTGAGATAAGTTCACAGCGCGTCCTTTTCCACCTCGGTTTCTACGAGCATTTTAAAACCCATAAATGCGTGGTCTCACTCAAGGCTAGACCTGGAAGTCGAGTCAATTGGTTTGGTTCCGATTCAGATCTTTTCGGTTCGGATCTCTTTCAAATATATGTTATAATTGGCTTGAGTCGATTCGGTTTGGTTCAGTTTGGTTTCGGGTTTAATTTGATGATTTTTTCCTAGTTTCGGTTTGGTTTTGGTTCAAGTTTATTTTGGTCCGGGTTTATATCGGTTCGGGTTTATACCGATTCTAGTTTTTACCGGTTTTAGTTTACACCGGTTTCAAATGAGATTCCTTGGTATTAAAGTTTCTAATGTTAGCCTTGTGTGTAGCATCCCCTCGATGTGTGTATCGCGGGGTATTTATACACGTGTCAGCAATAATGAGTCAGTATATCCATCAATGTACGATGTCACTATAAATTATGTATACTCTGTATAAAAATAGACAACCACCTTAGTTTATGTGATAAAGCACATAATAAAAGATTTGTACATCAAATTAGTTGTACTATAATTTAAATATACATTTCTGAAAAATGAGCTATTATGTTTGACTAGATTGTTAGGCTATTAGGTTTTATACAAGTTCAGGTTTATACCAGTTTTGAATTTGATCAATATTGGGTCTAATCAATTTTGGGTCTAATCGGTTTTGGGTCTAATCAGTTTCGGGTCTAATCGGTTCCGAGTTTAATCGATTCGGGTATAATCAGTTAGGGTTCAATTGGATTCGGATATGAATTAGGTCTAAATACATTCGGTTTGGTTTCAGTTCGATTCGAATCATTTTGGGTGTTTGCTTTTAATTTGGTTTTTTGGTTTTGGGGTTATTTCGGGTTCGATTCCGGGTCATTCAGTTTGGGTTATCGAGTTCGGGTCTGTTTTACCATGTCTACTCAAGGTGAAGGCATTATTAGTCGACGACGTAAGCACAGTGGAGGAAGAAGAGGATCTAGATCCGAAAACCATGTATGATTAAGTAGAGCAGAGGGGGAAGCTCTATGGATTGGGTTCAAGGATTTTGAGGAGAGTAAATCTAAAATTTAGAATTGGGGAATTATGGTTTGTGGGATTGAGGGTTTAGCATGTTAGGAATAATGTTTATGATTAGAGAGGTGTAAAGCTAGAAGTGGATGAAACTACGTACGATTTCGGCACTCTGCACGAGATTGAATGCGAGAGCAATGAACCTGACAGAGTACTGAAGGAGATGATTGAGGAGTTTTTGAAGGATAATTGAATTGAGTACTCTTATTCTAAGATGTCCAAATTTGCTACATTCAAGGAGGGGAAATTGCCTTTATAAGAGATCAGTTTCAGGAATTCATTTTATAATCATAACAATATTTTCAAAAAAGACACAACAAAGTTGTGAACTATTACATTTTTAAAACACATACAAATCTCTGATAGGAACGTACCGATATATTTCAAAAAAAATATTTAAAATTTTAAAATTTCAAAAAAAATAATAAAAATAGAATTACCTCAAATGATCTCAGCTTTCATTTAGTTGCACGAAATGGGTTCTTTTTTTAAAAAAGACCATTATGTTACCCTTAGCTCCTTAATGCCGACCCAAAACATCCACACAAGCGAACATGTGGAATTATTAAGCATAATATTGAAAAGTGATATTATTTTTTGAAAAAGCGCAAAAATGTGAGATTATTTTAGATAATTATTTTTTTAAAATTATTTTCTCAGTGATGCGGGCTCTATTACAATTGTAGTATTTGACAATATTTTCTCAACTTAATAATTTGTAGGGAGTCAATGCATCCCAAGCGAATCGAACCTTGGCGAGCAATCAAGAAGATCTTGGAAAATGATCTTCATTCCATCCAAGGCAAGAGAGAAGGTCAAAATTATTATTATTATTGTTGTTGTTGTTGTTGTTGTTACGGAGTATTATAATTATTTTATATTCATTCATAGTCTTATGGCGTATTAATGGCAAAAGTCTATTTTTGAAATGTGGACTTGTTGCCATTTATTCTTTCCACTTGCATCCACACACTAAAGCCTCGTCGCTTGAGTTGCTCAAACCACTTCAAACTTGTTTCCTGCAACTTACCCTTTACAAGTGTCATCTCTACCTGTCTCTATATATCCTTGTTTTAAATCCTATCAAGCCTTTCACGCATCCATTATAGCCTCTGTGTCTTTGTCGCATGTAGTTAATGAACATAAGTTTTCCTAACTTCCCAATCGAAAGTTCCCTGAGCGCATAGAAGTGAGGACAAAGCATGCGAGAAAAATTTGTCCTGACTTGTGGGTCAGTCTACAATCCTATGAGCAGACACTTTCAATGACGGTGGGGGCCGAGGTGTTAGGAGGTGTCAATCAAACTTATAAATTCCACATCTAATTTTATCACCTAATCAGTAAAACAACATTTTAAGTATCTGGTCTTAATTCTGCTCAATCTAGAACTTTTGGATTCTAGCTAGGAAATGATGCCACAACACTAATTTGTCGTCGAGCCCCTTTTCACGTATTTTAAATTTACCCTTTTTTTATTTTTCACTATTTTTACTCTTTTTTGCTATTCAGAGAAAGTTAGGAATTTTGAATATTTAACAATATCTTTCCACCCATTGTCATTCAATTCCTTCTCCAAAAAATCTATCAAATTTTCTTGAATCCAATCATTATCAAAATCTATTCAAAATTCTCCTTCACTTCTTTTTATTGGCCTAATACTCTAGTGACCCCCTTGACTTGGAAAATAGACATTAATATTCTTTAGAACATCTTTAGTGACGAGTTCTTACGAGAAGTTCGTAGCTAAAATATTGGCACTTTACTAAGAAATTTCTTTAAAAATGAAGCAACTGATGCTTCACATGTTCTCCAAAAAAGCTCCACAACACCTTTTTTAGGTAAAACAATTCCACAAGAACCTGTCACTAAAAATGCTATTATATTTTACAATTTTTTTTCTAAAAGCCCTATAATTTCAAAATGTTGCATAGACATCCCCTCCAACTAGTTTTTGTTCACTTTTCTAGCGAAGAGGGAACGTTGGCACCTAATTTTCAAACCACATGGACACTGGAAACTAATATCTTGTTTTTCGTTCATTTTTTATTTTTTTTTAAAAATTATTCCTTCTAACATTTTTAAAAATAAAAATTGTTTGTGTTTGGAATAAATGAAATAAAAATAAATTATCATATGCTTAATGTGTCTCAAGTATAAAGTTTTCATTTTAAAATTTTATCAAATGACTAACAAAAATAAGGAAAGAAAGTGAATAAAATTTAACTATGTAAATAGTTTACATGTAATTTAGTTTGGGACGGAGGGACTACAAATCACATAAAAGAAAGTAAAATAAAAAACGTAAAAACAACAATGCGACATAGACGAAAATATCGATCTAAAACAAAAAAAATTAAACATAATCGCAACAGTAGAAAGGCAGAGTAAATTAAGATAATGGTACTAAAAATATCCATTTGTTTTTTTAGAGGGAGTTTAGAGAGTAAGGTTTAAAAGAATAGGTGTGATTTAAATAATTAAATAGGTTTAAAACTTGTAATTATTAATTGTAAATGTTAATATTAGGTAGAATTTCCTAGATAAGAGTAAAAAGTTTTGAAAATACTAAAATAGGAGTTGTAAGTCTTTTAAGTCCAAAATATTAGTCACAATGTCATTTCTACACTACCACACTTACCACATTGTCACATTGCAATTTCACATTGCCATCCGTCGCTGCTGCCACTAGGGTACCATCGTCGATTGTCGATGATTCACTGATCACATTGCAATATTACATTGGCCTCATGTCATCACATTGTCAACGCGTACCCTTATGTCACACTGCCATTATACTCTTATTTTAGTCTTTAAAGACTTAAAACTCTTATTTTGATATTTTCATACTTTTTTATTTCTATCGAAGGAGATTTCTTTTAATATTCTTGTTAAATAAATGGTGATTTGTCTAGTATCATTGGCAAGAGGTTAGACTAGTTTACATATTGTTTTTGGTACCAAATGGATGGTGTTACGCTATCTGCCAAAATGCCACATCAGCTTATTTTGGTATTAAATTAAGGGGGGTGTATTTAATCCTGATTTTATATGATTCTGATAGATGGTTTAAAATCAATGGATTTTATAAAATCAATGAATAATTTTAAATCTATGCAGAGTTAGATGGATTTTAATATATTTTTATGAACAAAATTTATAGGATTCTTGTAGATTGTTTTTAATCCATGGATTACTTATACATACATTTGAATTACTTTAAAAATCCTTACATTGTTCTATTATTACCTATGAAATTATGAAATTGACCAAAAACTTTAAAAATAATATGATAAAATAAAAATAAATTATGTATTCAAACATTAAAATATATTTTTAAAAACTATTAAGAGCTATGAAAAAAACGAGTTGTGGAAAGATCAACATCTCCCCTTTTCAATGAATGGCCAGTGTACCAAAGGAGAAGGGCATTGCAACAAGAAAGGAGAAATTGTGAAAATCCAAAACCAAACCCAATTAATGGTGGGCAGTATTTCACTTTAAAACGGTGATTGCAGAATAGCTAATCTAAAAGAAGGGACCCAGATTCACGACGGAGAATCTTTGGTTCTCTTACAACGCCCTTGCCTCGATATGTCGTAGTAGACGCCGATTCATTTACTTATTAGGGTTTTCGAATCGAGAAGCTCACGGCGAGGTTGTAGCAAAGGATTTTGCTGGCGGCGGAGTAATTGAACCGTGTGAGGGTGGCCTCGTCAACGTAGAACCAGAGGGTGTTGGGACAGAAGACGAGCCAGAGGATGCCAACAACGATGAGCAGAAGATGAGTCAGAGGAAGAGGTAGAGAGGATCGGATTTCACAAAATCCATACACTTTTCATTGGATTTGAAAACAAGATTTTTCTTTATACTCAAAGCCAAAAATCTATCATAATCCACATTTTATAATAATCCATGAAAATCTATCAATATTCTAATACCATTAGATTTAAAAATATTTTCTAAAATCTCAATCCAATACCTCCAGATTTCAAATGATTTTTTAAAATCTCAATTGAATACCTTTAGATTTTCAATGATTTTTCAAAATCTCAATTGAATACCCATATAGACTTTTATAATACAAAAAATCTAACAGACTTCTGATTGAATGCACTCCTAAAGTTTACCCTCTCCATACCATGCACCCTTATTGAAAAGCTAAAGCGTAGTAATGAAGTGAGATGATAAGGCTCTTTTTGGAGACATTTGAAAATTTAAAATTTGTTGGATATCATTATTTCCGAAAGAAGTGAAAGAATAAGATATTTTTTTAGATTGAAGCCCAAGATTCCTTTTGAGACATCTAAAAAATAATTTTTTTCGGACGTCTTGAAAATAACCTTATCAAGTAATCAACACACTACATGTCTACGTTCCATTTTTTCTACAATAGTTTTTCTGTATGCTTTTATTTTTTTCATTTTCTTTTTCAATTCTATTTTTATTTTATTTTATTTTATTTTATTTTCCTTTTCCTCATTTTCGTTTTTAGACACTTCAAAAAGTTTTGTTTTTTGTTTTAGAAAATCAAAAAATGAAAATGTTGTTACAAATATAGAAGAAGTATGTGTTAATTTTTTCATTTCATTTATTTTTTATTTCAAACACAAATAATTTTGGTTTTTTAAAAAAATTATAAAGAATAAAAAATGAACATAAAATAAGTTATTGGGTTGAGATGCCCCTACTAGTTCGAAAATTAAGCTCCAATGCCTGTAATGTGATTTGAAAATTAGATATCGATACCCACTATTCACCGAAAAAGTAAACGGGAAATAGTGGAAGGTGATGTTCATGCAACATTTTGTAATCATATAGATTTTAGAAATAAGTTTTGTAAACAAGAAAGGTATTGATACCTATTTTCCAAACCATGAGAGGAGTAAAACTATTTGATCTCTTTTCATCTCTACATATCTTTCACTCCATTTCTATCTATATCGGGACACGATTCCGGAATCTTTCTAGACGGTACCAGTAGCGCTTCCAATTTTGGGGGTATCGAATTTAGCTTAATTTTTTGAAATATTTGCCCTAAATAGCACTAAATTTAAGTTATTTTCCTAAATAGCACTTAAATTGTTTTATTCCCTAAATAACACTTAATAATGTCCATAATGTTCAGTGATGACAAATATTTACTTGAATAATGACTAATGAATAATGACTAAAAGTGCTACATTGAGAAAGAACACATGTGATGCTATTTAAAAAAAGTCATTATGTTTTAGTGCTATTTACGTAAATTCCCCTAATTTTTTTCCAACTTTGCTAGACATTTACCACACTTAGATTAACTACTTTACAAATAATATCTACATTTAAATTTTTTTTTATCATTTTTGTGATAATTCAATTTAACAAAAAAAAGTTCTAAAACAAGAACCATCAGAGGTTTCGGAATTGGCAATTCCAGAAGCAGAACTGGCCCGTGTGCCGTACTTCTATCTAATACTCCGTATCTATGAATAAATCTAAAGATACACAAACATGGGGTATCCTATTTGATGAGAAATAATACGTGGCTCGGCCCACATTTCTCAATTATTTACGAAGAACAGTCAAACCGGACTTGTTTAATAAAATGGAGGAATAAGAGAATATTCTCCGAATATGCTTCCCCTCCTCCCCTATAAAAGGAGGACTCCCCCTCAATGTTAAGGGGGGCCATTCACTCATTCATCTCCTGCATATCTCTATCTCCCTCTTTAGAAAGTTTTTAGAGTGTTTTTCCTTCTTCTTCAAGAGCTTCTAGCTCCACCATTAATGGCTTCCAAGCCCATTTCATGTACCGTGTACACACCCCCGATATTAATAAAAATTCCCCGTTGGCAAGGTACCGCCAAAAAAGGCCCGTGGTTTTCTCCCGATCTGGGTTTCCACGTCAAAATCCCCGTGTTTATATTTTGGTGTATTTTTAGACTAGTTTATCGTTTTAGCCGGGCTAAAAGCGGTATACCGGTCAATAATTTACACCATCATTTTGGCGCCGACCGTGGGACCCGAGCAAAAAGCTTCATTTTTTGTTCGGCCATCTGACAGAGCCTAAAGGGTGAGAAACAAAAAAAAGAGGAGAAAACTTTGGATACTCCGATCAAGAGAGCATTTCATTTTCTTGAAAGTGAAATGGTTGAGAATTGGAAAAGGGGAAGAATAAATCAGTAGAGGGAGATGAAGACTGTCACTATTTTGGAGGGATCTGTGTCTTTGCCATGGAGATCTCACCGCCCGTCGCTGCTCAAACATACCGCCACCGCTGCTCAAGTCCGCCGTCGCCACCGCTGCTCAAATCTGCCGCCTCCGTCGCTGCTCAGAGCTGCCGTTGCCGCTGATGCTCAAACCTGCCGCCGCCGCTGCTCAAGCCCGCCGACGCCGCTACAAAGATTTGTCGTCATCCCCGCCACTGCCGACACTTGTGCGCATCCGTCACCAGATGGCTGTTTTTGGTCCCGCCGCGGCCAAAGCCGTGGGCCACCACGCCGGAAAAAATCAAACCCCGATAGAAGCCAATGATCGCCGCCGACGAAGTAAATCACTGATGCTGCTACAAAGATCTATCGTCATCCCCGCCACTACTCTACTACGGGCTAATATCCATAGCCACCGTTCTTAAAAATCTACCGCTACATGAATCCGTGATGGGAGTCCACCGCCATGGTGGCTAGAAGCAATTCATCACCGCCGGGGAAGTCGATCACCACCACCATTGTTGGGTTGTCACCTTGCCCAAATCAAAGACTACCATGCTGAAAGTCTATCATCTCCACTGTTAGAACCTATGCTTGCTTTCACCGCCATTGTTTCTCGGATCTGATGTCTTTCTTGCGCCTCAGATCTGCCGCCGTCAATATTAGTCGTTCTTGCACCTCAGGTCTGCTGCCGTCACTCCGCCCCGCCTCGGAGAACAAGACCATGCTCCGCAACTGGCTTTATAGTAGTGCCATCATGACCGCCGTTCGGAGCTGGCGTAAACTGCTCCTGCTACTGTTTGCCTTGCCGAAGAACAAAGCCATCATAACCGCCCTTCGGAGGTCGTGGTTCCGCTGAATCTCATCCCGGATTGCTTCCCGCCGTGGCTCTGGCTCCGATAATGTCCTTCGAAGGTGTTGATGCTGATTGACGTGGTACCAGTTCATCAGTTCCTCCCAGAAGACAATAACAACAAGATGGATTTCGCTTTCAAAAAGTCCAAGTGCAAAAGGTTAAAAGAAAAGTAGACAAGTTGAGATGATGCACGTGATGAGCTAATGATATGGGCCTACCATTATTTGAATATGTGGTGGAAAGTTCGTGGAATTCACATGGCAATAAGAGCCCCTTCTCAAATTATTACTGGTCTTGTACAGCTGTCAATTAAAAAAGAAGATATTCCGTATCAAAGATGAGGATCAAAGGCACAATTGTTGCTCCACAAAATTATACAAAGTGGATTTTGGTGGGCTCCATTTTGATTGTGAGCTTTTGTAATGCTCCGTATTATCATGATGTCCACATGTTCCTAGACTCTATCAAGGATCTGTGACATATTCTCAACAAATCAAACCGATTGATGGACCATTTTCAAGGGAAGACTGAGACACAAGCCGAGCTTGGTACGCTGGTTACGACACCAGTCTTGCTCAGTATTAAAAAAAAAGAGGAAGACTAAGACACAGGCCCGGCCTGGCACGCTGGTTACTACACCGGTCTTGCTCAATATAATAAAAAAATATTAAAATATGTGACACAGGCCCGGCCTGGCACGCTGGTAAATATCGTTCTTGTGCGCGAGACAGGCCAAGAATTGTATACACACCGGTCTTGCACATATTTTCTCGTAAGTCTGAACCCAATCGAATTGGGTACACCGGTGTCTCAGCTGAGCTCTTATCGGGGACGCCCGATTCTTCAAGCCTTTTGAACAAGGCACTCCGGAAGTGGTCTCTGCATGACATGAAGATATTTGCATCAGTTAGCTGGGCTAGCATCGATCTTCGACAAAGTTGCTGCAACATACTTAATTCGTATTAAGTAACATCGATTACTTCGATATGCTAATTTCGCTATGTATCATTTACTTAATCCGTACTGACATCGGTCTCGACGAAATAACTACTTGAAGCACCGCCGCTTCATCGTACTAACTCCGGTGTCGTATAACTACTCGAAGCATCGTTGCTTTATCGAACTGACATCGCTCTTGTTACGATGATTATTCACGCGAATTTTAACCACCCTAACACCGAGCTCCTCGGTAAAGATAATAATTATTTGGGCACGGCATAGGCCGGTCAAAAAAAATGTTGTACATATTATTTTTGCAGGAAGACCTTCTGATTCAAGAAATTAGAGAATTAATGAAGACTCGGAGGACTATCAATAATATCAACCGGTCAAGAATCCAAAGTACGAAGACTGAAGATTACATTCAGAGGACTTATTTACTTTTTTAAGTTGATGATTCTCACAACTTAAAAAAGTGGAGGACTTCTTGATGGGAAATAATACGTGGCTCGGCCCACATTTCCCAATTATTTACGAAGAACAGTCAAACCGGACTTGTTTAATAAAATGGAGGAATAAGAGAATATTCCCCGAATATGCTTCCCCTCCTCCCCTATAAAAGGAGGACTCCCCCTCAATGTTAAGGGGGGGGGGGGGGGGGGGGGNTCTCTTGCATATCTCTATCTCCCTCTTTAGAAAGTTTTTAGAGTGTTTTTCCTTCTTCTTCAAGAGCTTCTAGCTCCACCATTAATGGCTTCCAAGCCCATTTCATGTACCGTGTACACACCCCCGATATTAATAAAAATTCCCCGTTGGCAAGGTACCGCCAAAAAAGGCCCGTGGTTTTCTCCCGATTTGGGTTTCCACGTCAAAATCCCCGTGTTTATATTTTGGTGTATTTTTAGACTAGTTTATCGTTTTAGCCGGGCTAAAAATGGTATACCGGTCGATAATTTACACCATCACTATTTATACACCACACAAACATAAACTGTAGTCTTTGTATGGTTCTCCGATTTAGGGTCTGTTTAGGAATAACGTTAGCGATTAGCGTTAGCGTTTTGAAAAAGCTATCTACGGGCAGTGTTTAGTGTTAGCGTTTTCAAAACAATCTGCACCGTTAAAATTTTATTCAAAACGCTAACGCTAATCTCTAACGCTATTCCCAAACAGGCCCTTAGTGTACTAATGGCATGACTCAATATCTATCATCCAAACCCACCCTTCAAAAAATTGAGAACACACAAGCTTAATTGACCCGTACAAGTTACTCATGTTCTAGTGCAGCTGGATTGGTAAGAAGAACCAAAGCTGAGAGAGAGTGGCATTTTTGATGGTCGGGTACGCGGGGCGGCGGGGCGCTCATACTTTCTTCACTTTTCAAAAAAGCAGCGGAGAATCCGAGTCTCTGTCGCTCCCCCACATATTCTGGCAACCTTCCGCCATCTCTCTCTCTTTGACAGATACCATTCAAACTGTGGCAAGCCGATCCGAACAAGTCCCATAAACTTTTTTTAGCTTGCACCAACAACACCCAGAAGCAAAAGAAAGGGGTTTCGCTAGAACAGCAGCTCTTCTTCAATCTGTATCTCTTTTCTTCAATGTGAGCACCCTCATCTTTATCTCGGTTGTCATTCTTTTGCATCCTTCTTCAGTGCAGTAGCTAGGGTTCCAAGTTTATCTTTTGATCTTGAGTTTGTCTGAGGTCTGTACATTTCCTCTCTATTTTTCTTGTTGGGAATAGTTGAATCTTTATCTTCCAGCAGTGATCACCAAGTTAAGTGCGCTGAGGGTGAAAGCTAGTGTCTTTAGGGGTTTATGTTATGGATATTGACTGGTGTTTTCATCTTAATTGCGAAATGGTGTTAAAATTGGGTCGGCTATTAATCTGCCATACCATTGAAGTTGAGACTCTTTTTTGGAATGGGTGTAGAGGTTGTAACCATGACGAGGGTAATCCGTGATTTTGGCAATACAATGCAACAAGATGCGGCTTGGCCTGTTTCAGCTGATGTAGTTTTCCATTCGAACCGGTTTCCAAATTACAAAATTGGGGTTAATAATCAGACACCCGAGTTGACAGAGGACCCTAAAGTAGTCTCAATGAAGGAGATGGTTGCTCGAGAGACCACTCAGTTGCTTGATCAGGAAAAACGACTCTCAGTTCGCGATCTTGCCAGCAAGTTTGAGAAGGGTCTGGCTGCTGCTGCGAAATTGTCTGACGAGGTTTTTACTATTTTATTTTGCTCATATGATATGGAGTACATACATTTTGAGGTTTTATCGACCATGTTTCTCACTAGCATAGCTGGACTCAATCTATTTCTAATGCCTAAAACCTGGAGTTTAATCAAAATCTCTTTAGTGCATTAAAGAATTGAATGAAGGAGTCCTATAGTCCCATATTTGGTCAAACGATAACGTATCATATACTCCATACAAAATTGCTCTATCTGCTTCTGTTAGGAAATAGAAAATTTTTAAGGAGGTTGAGTTCAAGACGAATTATGAACTTTTTAAAAACTGATTATGCCCTTCGTCCCATAAAAAGTTTCTAGCTTCTTGACATGCTCTTGTCCCAAAAAGAGTCCTATTTATTGAAAATAAACTAGTTTTCATATTTTATAATGGCTGTACCTTACTAGATATTTAAAAGTTCCCTCAAAAATGGATATTTAGAAGTTGTACCTTGATGAAATCGGACTCTTTTTATTGGATAGAGTGAGTATTATTTTATTTTCTTCTCCCACACTTCTAGTAACACGTTATATAAAAATTATTTATCTTCAACTACTTAATTCAATGATACTACTTCGTAACACTCGTTCTTTTGGCTTCTAGGCCAGACTTAAAGGAGCAGCTTCACTTGAGAAACATGTGCTTTTAAAGAAGCTCAGAGATGCACTTGAAGCTTTGGGAGGGCGTGTGGCTGGTAGAAACAAGGATGATGTTGAGGAAGCTATTTCAATGGTTTGTTCCTAGTCTCTCAATTTGTAATTTTGACTTTCTTTAGTTAACAAGGGGCATACACTTCCTTCTTCGTGTATAAATTTTTATTTGGAACTGGAGTATAGAATGAAGGATATACTGCTCATGTTTCACTTCTTTGGGGGGGGGGGCTTCAAGTTTCAACTAATAGCTATGATGAAGAGTCAGATAATTCATTTTAAGGTCATGGAAGGGTGCAGGTACATAGGCTGTCCTATCTCTGTTCTAGATAAAATCATATCATTATATCACTCTGTTTAGTATCTTTGCAATTAACCAAAATGCAAGGATGATAAATTAGACTTTATGCGTTTTGTTCCAATTTCCAAGCTTTGAATTGTATCCATCATCATGGTTCTTAGTTCATAAAGCTGATTGTATTTTTTCGAGGTCAATTGTTTATTGAAGTATTTGACTGATAAACTCAATTTCCCCATGATGTTTACTTCTACTCCCTATGACCCTATGTAGTTATGAACTCTAAAACCCTATCCCTAAATTTTTTGGTCAACACCACATGACTCTTAAAATAGGGGCTTCGATAATGGGTTTTATGTTTTTTTGTCATTATTCTAAATATACAATCATTGAATCACTGGGAAGGATACGTCTAACCTTAAATCAAGCATATCAATCAATGCTTCAAAATTTTCAGGTTGAAGCTTTAGCGGTCCAATTAACTGAGAGAGAAGGAGAATTGATTCAGGAAAAGGCTGAAGTTAAAAAGCTTACAAGTTTTCTTAAGCAGGTAGAGTATAATATACTACTCGTATTTCATACATATAAAAAAGAATCTGCAGACAAGACTTCTTTTTTCCGTGTTAAAAAAATTATAGTGGGCCGAGAACAGGCAGAGTGTCGGAGAAAATTAACCACTTGCATATAAAGTCGGGATTCACTTTCTAACCCAAGAGCTTAAGCTGATAAGTAGAGCTTCACCCTTCTTATATATGTGCTAGTGGTATTTGATGGCCTTTTCCGATGTGGGAAGTCCAACACTCCCCATGAAGTAGTAACTAACATGGCCTAGTCAGCACTTGGACAAATGTGTCTAGTATCTCAATCTCTTATAGCTAGTCCACACAACGAGCGGTAACATCTCAAATCTCTTATAGCCAACTAAACCAAAACTACAGACAGGTAGCTCATATTGCTAAACCCACATCCAAACAACTCCTGGAGTCCGAACCTGACTCGCTTCGATACCATGTTAAAATTTTGGCGGACAGAGAACGACCGGCAAAGTGTCGGGTAAAATTAACCACCAACATGTAAAGTCAGGATTCGCGTTCTAAACCAAAAGCTTAAGTTGATAGGTATTGCTTCACCGTTCTATATATGCTAGTGGTGTTTCATTACTTTTTCGATGTGAGAACTCGAACAAACCAAAAGAAAAGGAGTCATGCTTGATTAGTTGTTCATGTAAAATGCCAAAGAAGAGCTATACATAAGTTAAATATGACATACTTAGTTGAACCAACCTTTTTTGTTGAAATTAAAATTATACTGCATATTAGACAAGATAAACATGTACTCCTTTAGTCCTAAAACGTTCTTCTCGGTTTGACTAAATCTCATTTTAAGGAAAGTGTAAATATGACTTTTACTTTCCAAAAATAACAATACATTCCCAGGCTTCAGAAGATGCAAAGAAACTTTTAGATGAAGAAAGAGCTTTTGCTAGGGCTGAAATTGAAAACGCAAGAGCTGCTGTTCAGAGGGTTGAAGAAGCTCTTCAAGAGTTCGAAGAAATGGCCCGAGCATCGGGAAAGCAGGTAATTAAAATTTTCTTACTTGGAATTTCACTTTAGAATTTGCGTGCATGTTTCCAGTGCAACCTCTCTTCCATTCCTAACAACCTGAAATCAATTCACAATTTACCTCGGACAGTACTACAAGAACAGTGATGCTTATCCTAAAAGTCTAAAACAATGTATTATTCCTTTTGTGGTTTAATAGTGTTAAGACATTGACATTTATGTACACTCTTGAATGCAAAGGATTTGGATGAATTGATGAAGGAAATTCAAGAAGCTAGGCGTATCAAAATGCTGCATCAGCCAAGCAAGGTATCATTGCCATTGTCTTTCTAGAGGTTTTACTTAGTGATTCTAATATGCGTTGTGTGGCTCATGGTTACCCTAAAAGAAGGGCAACAAAAAAAGTTGAAGCTTATGTAAACTCTAGAATTGAAATGATTATTCACCTGATAAAGTGAAAATGATGTAAACATGAAGAAAATATATTGGGGAAACAATTATAATTCTGAAAAAGTACATTAAATCTGCATATGGGTAAAAACACCATACACCTTGTAGCATGAAATTGAAAGTAAACAATTGTCAATTTGATTAACGGTTTAGGCATTTTTCACTTGAAACTTGAAAGTATGAAATTGAAATTGAAAGCAAACTTTTAAGCATGAATAAATCAAGGTGAGTCGTGGTTCATATATCTACTACTAAGATTAACTTGCAGGTTAGCTTTTCATTCGTATATTTTCTAGCAATTGATAACGTATTCATGAGCATGATTGTTAAACTCGTTGATGGACTGTACTTGAACTGTATGTTGTTGAATCTATGATAGAAGCATGCTTAGGAGTTAGGACTTGCGATATGCACACACACACAGATATATATACCCTTGCTTATTTTGAGCATATGCACACACACACACACAGAAAATGATTGCCCCCAGGTTAGTGTTTGTTACTCTATGTCAGACATTCCTTACTTGTGATTAGTCTGTCTTAGAAATCTGTCTATTAAGGTTACTGTCAGTTGAAGGCTGTGTATAAAATTTGTGATTACCCTTGCTTATTTTGAGCATGATTATTTCTGAAATGGAACTTGCCATAGCAGTAGTGCATCAATTTCCAACACAAAATTCTGAGCTGTGATTACAGAGAAAATGTCAAACAACTACAATTTGAGCGTTTCTGAAAATTTTGAAGCATTGATTGATATGCTTGATTTAAGGTTAGACGTATCCTTCCCGGTGATTCAATGATTGTATATTTAGAATAATGACAAAAAAACATAAAACCCATTATCGAAGCCCCTGTGTTAGGGTGTTGTTAAATCCACTGAATTCTTTTACTTTTTTTCCTTTGGAATAGGTGATGGATATGGAGCACGAGCTTCGAGCATTGAGAGCTCAGTTTGAAGAGAAGTCCAAGTACTCAATAAAGCTTCAGAAGGAGGTTTTGGATTCTATCTTGAAAGTTGAAACCTCTAATAACAAACTTTATGCTGAAACCATTGAAGGATACCTTCTATAAGCATCTTTCTATACTAAGTAGGTCCTTGCTTTAGGAAATAAATGATACTGCTCTCTGACAAATACTCCGTACTTCTTAAAAAATACAGTTGGCACTGAGAAAGAGTGGTGATGGCACCACACAAAATTCGTATGAAATAGATGGCACTGAAGCATTGGGTTCTTTTTTAAAAATTCTGCCATGTTCAAGTGATGCCCTAGATATTTCAAAATTTTCAATTCAGTGGCATCGTTTAGCATGCGAAGGTGGAAAAAAAGAACCCATTTCAGGTATCTGAGCTTAAGTATTCTCATCCACTTGAAAAAATCATGTCCTGCTTAAGTGCTTATGTATCTTCTTGGGAATCTAGGTTCACCAGTTGCCTTTCTCATTTATCCTCATGTATTTTCTTTATTAAACATGAAAATGGCCTGAGTTGATCTACCTGATATTTTCTTTTAGACATATGAATTATGACCATATAGGAAATATTACAAAAAAAGATTGTACTATTCATGTTTTCTAGCATTAGTATTGATATATATTTCACCGTCAAGGGGCTACCAAACCTTATTATGCACCCGAGCCATTTGATGTTGGACGGGTCTTGCAAGCTGATATGATGGTAGAAGACCGAATAGTAACTTTGACCACAACTGGTCCTATTGATCCAGGTTAATTTCAATTCATTTTCACTTATTTTTTGAAAGAAGACATTTTACTTCATAAGTTTCTTTTGTCTTGCTTCTTCTTTTCCGCCTCCTTGTTTCTTTTATATTTGGTTAATGCAAATCCAACCTGTATTTCGTGGAGTTGAAGTAATTATCTCAAATTTGTAGCTTACATTGCTCTCATGTAACAGCTGCTGGACTGGGGAACTATGTTGAAGCATTGGTTCGAAGGCATGAAACTGAATTCAATGTATGTTATCTTCTATTGAAAAGAATTCTTACCTGAAAGAAATGTTGTATCATCTGAATTTTTTAATTTAAAAATATATTCATGTGAAGGCTGCACCAATCTGAAATTAAAGATTGGGATGTGAGAATAATTGTGGAAAACACCATGGATTATCCCTTGTTCTCATAGAAAACTTGATTTATCTAAACTTTGATAAAATTTGCACAATAGTTGGGCTACTCTATTTCTCCACAGTTCCTATATATCTGAATATTCACTTGAATTGCTTCAATAAAATATCCTTTGGGAGGCTTGCAGCATTTTTTCATCAAGATTTCAACTATATCTTGTGATCTGGAGAGCAATTGCATGGGACAGAAAAGCTTAGCTGATGAATTTTTATCATTAATCCTTTCTCACATATGTTTGTGTTTGTTACCCCCTCCCCTTTTACAGGTAGTTATTGTTCAGATGAACGGGGTGGATCAACCTTCACAATCTATCTATGTACTGCACATCGGAAAGATGAGGATAAAACTTTGTAAAGGGAAGACAAATGTAGCTAAAGAATACTATTCTACTTCAATGCAGGTATTCACCATACTTCCATTTTCTCAAAATTTAACTATGGTGGACCTTTTAGGTGCACCTTCTCTGAGGTTTATAATAACTATAGCATTTAGCTTTACACAGGAAACTAATGCCATTTGGCCCAACAAGTTTGTTTTACAGTTTTTTATGTCTGGGGGTGGGGGATTATATTTAGGCTTACTAATCTATCGCGATCTGTCAGTGTTTGTGTAGAAACTAACTACTCTCTCCGTTGCTATATTAGTGCCCATTTGACCAAGCACAAAGTTTTACGAAATGAAAGTTGGTTGGAACACTCCCTAAATAGCTTAAAGGAATTGAATGGGTATTTCGGGACTGGTGAAAAAAAAGAAAGCTGTTTATTTTGGGACCAAGCAGGTATATGTTTGGCGAAATCATGCACTTATATATAAAATTTCTCCTTTTTCCGAATGAGTTAAAAAATATAAATTACCCCCCCCCCCCCCCCCCAGAAATCCCCCCAATCAAACAAGGGTGAATTTGAAAAGTCTGCCACCAGAAATTAAACGGGAAGGGAACAATACACCAGTATGCTAATAAATATGTTGCCATAGTGTTGAACTGAATTATACCAGCTGAAAATGATGAAATTTATTGCTTAAAATTTGCCCTTATTTAGTTGGAGAGTTTTTGTTTTTATTTTTGTTTTTTGTGTGTGTGTGTGTGCGCGCGTGTGGGGGGGGGGGAAGCGTTTTGATAGAGCGAGTGTTGAGTGGGAGGAGTGAATGTGCATAGGCTCTTCCAAACACCTCAATTCTCACTCTAGTTATGGATGTTTTGGTGTAGCTATTTCCTCTCTTCATTTCTTTTTCACCATTTTTATTAGTGTTCTTCATTATTATTGCTTAAGATTATTACTCCCTCTGTCGTTTTATTACTCAATTTTACGAGGGCACAAAATTTAAGTAAATGATAACCACGCAGTTGAATCTTATTTAGAAGAGTTTAATAATATGAATCTTTCCTTAAAAATAATTGCGTGATAATTTTGGGACGGATGGAAAAAGAGAATGTGAAAGGTAATTTACGAACATAGAGTATAATTTTAAGTTTGGACAATAATTCAGATGCATTGTTTTTATAATTTTCTCTGGAGTAATTAAACCCTCCCAAAATTCGCTCAATTTCCTCTCCATTGAACTAAGCTCACATTTTTTTGGGATTCCCCCTCCCTTTCCATTATTCCATGTCACATTATCCACCTTCCCCTTTTTTGAACTAAAGGCTCAGTTCCTAGTTCCTATTCCACATTCTGTTTTGGTCTATCTCAAAATAAGGTTAAGAAATCACAATAGATAGGAGTAAAACATTGAGAAAGAACCAAAATAGGAGTTTCATGTTCTTATTCCCTAAATAGGAGTTCGCACTGTGGTAATATGACAATGTACATGTGCATTTTACTATACTTTTTAGTAATGTACATGGTCATGATTGGTAATGTAAATGCATTTTAACTTCTATTTCGAGAATAGAAACATAAAACTTCTATTTTGGTATATTTTCAATGTTTTACTCCTACTTTAGTCATTTCCCTCCGCTTTCCTTTCAAAGAGAGAGTTGTGTGGTTCACATTATTTCTCTCATATGCATAAGTTTCAACAAGACAATTTCATGATTTTTAATAACTGTGCCAATTTCAATGTGGAATCTAATTTTGGGATGGTGGGAGTAGCTGGGTAGACAATATATGGTTGTCAAGTACTGCAATACCCCATAAATTTCTTTAGGGTGTTGCTAAATCCACTCCTCTTTTTGCTAAATACTCATCTTTTGTCAAACACAACAACAACTCAGTTCGATCCCAAGAAAGTAGGATCTGAGAAGGGTGTTTGTACACAGACCTTGCCGCATCTTTTGTCAAAAATGGACAAATTTATCCTAAAAGTGTAATAACAAGGAAAGGCAACATATGGACCAACTTCTGGGTAAAATTAGACATTTTTCATTAATGGGGTTTCTCATTTTAGGAAAGTATTTAATAGTTCACATCATTTTTCCCTTGTGCATATATCTAAATCATATAATTTCATTTTTCTTTAAATTTTGTGACAAAGCAAATGAGAAGTTTTATCTGGGATGGTGGGAGTATTCTATAATAATGCAAGTTTTATCTTTTGCCAGCTTTGTGGAGTTAGAGGTGGTGGGAATGCTGCTGCTCAGGCAGCATTTTGGCAAGCAAAGCCCGGGGTTTCCTTTGTGCTAGTTTTTGAAACAGAGCGTGAACGAAATGCTGCTATCATGCTTGCCAGACGGTTTGCTTATGATTGTAATGTAAGTCTTTTCTCCTGCCTTTGTCAATCAGAATGTAGAGTAATATTAGCGGAGCCTTTTTTTATGGGGATTTCTTTGGAAATCCAAGGAAATCCCAGGCTTCCTGTCAACATTTTTGTTTTGGATTATTGGGGGGCATATTTCCAAGTTCTAATCTTTATAATTTGAACATTGCATTTAGATAACTTTAGATGTTGACATTTTCAAGTTTTTTTTTTAAAAAATTTACTATGGGTGGGACTAAGTCCACACTCTAAATGCCTCTATGCCACACCTTCACCCACATTTGCTAAATCCATCAAGGCTCATATAAATTTGATACTAGTCATTTAGAGTGGGTTTAGCAAATTTGGGTGAGGAGAGGACATTAGCCATTAGAGACTTAGAGTGTGAATTTAGTTCCACCTATTAAAATTCAAAAAGTTTGTATGATAACTTTGCAAGCTCAAATGTATGGGTTGGAGGCATATTATTCTTTCTTCCAACACACACCCGAAAGAAAGAGAAAGATGCCTAATATATTGAAAATTACGAATTACTATCGAGTGACATATAATCCTCGATTATGCAGGTTGTCCTTGTAGGCCCTTCTGATAGAACTGCCATGTGAACTCCTGCCGACTTCCCAGAATGTGTAATTATACCGATTCCCTAATGCTTTTTTCCCTTGGGGTTTTGCTTATATACCGAGTATTTTTTTCCGTTCATTTCTCATTTTTGCCTTGGTTCATTTGTAATTCTTTTTTTTTGGTTTTCTCATATTGGGAATGTGTAGTAGGTGTTGGTGTTTCTTTGTAAGAAAGCGATTTAAGATCTTTGGATTATTATGTATGGGTAATTGGTTATATGACCTTGTTTGGGAACATTGTTTTTATTCAGCATTGTATTTGATTGATGTTGAAAGTGCCAAAGCTAAAACAATGTAGCTAAATCTCTGTCTTTAAACAGATACAAATAGGAACTAAGGGGGGTGTATTGAACTTAGAGTTTCAAGGATTTTTATGGATTATAAAACTCCATGAGTATTCAATTCAGATTTTAAAAAATCATTTAAAATCTGAATGTATTTAATTCTGATTTTAAAAAGTCATTTAAAATTTGAATGTATTGAATTTGGATTTTAAAAATTCAATCTAAATCTAATGGTATTGAACACTTCATGAATTTTTAAAGATTTGTATTCTACATGGATTTTACGTAAAAATCATAATAAAACATGTCTGAACAAATCTGTACACCCCACCAAAGATTTCTGAAGATTTAAGAATCTGATCCTCTCTCTTTTGTGGGCATCTTCTCTTTGGTCTCAGATCTCTTCTCCAAGTTGGGAATGTAATGGAAGCGACGTCGACGGTTTCTGACTAGATTCATGGCGTTCCTTCATCGCCTCTGGGCCTCCTTTGACAGATACTTCGCTGGGACCCGATGTCGGTTTCGGGAGCAACATAGGATCACGTAGACCACCAATGGCCGAGGGGAACTATAATTGATTCGATTAAGTTCAGAACCGATTAGACCCGAAACTGATTAGACCTAAAACTGATTAGACCAAATATTGATCAAATTCAAAACAAATTATACTTAAATCCACTCAAACCTAATAACTAATTACTTAATGTCTTTTTCAAAAAAACATATTTAAATTATAGGAATAACTAATATCATGTACAAATCTTTTATTCCGTATTTTATCACTTAAACTAAGATTGTTTTCTATTTTTATACAGAGTATATATAATATATAGTGACATCTCAAGCACAATGATGGATATACTGACTCATTATTGCTGACACATGTATATATACCACCCTATACAGACAGGGAGGGGAGGCAACACTAGGCTAACATTAAGATCTCTAATACCAAGGGATCTCATCTGAAATTAGTATAAACCCGAACTGGTAAAAATCCATATCGGTATAAACTTGAATCGATATAAACCTGAACCAATATAAACTAGAACCGAAATAAATCCGAACCAAAACCAAACTAGAAATGAGAAAAAAGCAAAGCGGATTAAATTCAAAATTGAATAGAATCGAACCGAGCGGACCCAAACCGCTTGCTACTTCTAGTCATGATCATTATTTGTATGTTTTTGTTCATAATTTAATAGAGTAAAATATTCTTGTCACATCTTGTATTGTAAAACTTTTGAGATTGTTTTTAAATGTGTAACTTGTAACCTTAATTTTCATACCATTTTAAAAACAAAATAAATTTAAAAGGGATGAGATTTTACACGTTTGAAATGAGATCATAATTTTGGAACGAAGGGAGCAGTAGTCTTAAGCTCTCCAAAGTCTAGGTGAGCTAACTAATTTGGGATGGATGGAGTGTATACAGGTTGTCCTCAAGAAATCAGGAGCCCTGACCGACACGAAGAAAATGAGACATTGCGTGATAATGAACGTGAGTGCATTAACTAATGTTTTGAACAATATTTAATACTATAGCAATAAGAGTAATAAAATGTCAAATTCATGGTCTTATAAATTTATAACTACATACCTTAATAGTTAGTCGAGGATTTGTAAAGTTCTCTTAGCATTTTTGAGAGCAAATCTGTTGATCACCTCTCTATTGTCTATTAGATTTAAGGGTAAAATCAAGGGAAGTCACTATTTAAAATTTAAACAAACCTTTGATTATTTATTTATTATCATTAATTATTTGATAAATTAAACTATTACATTCATCTCTCGTTTTATACGAGTACAACTTTTGACATAATTTTTAATGGCAAAGTTCTGTTGACACTGGTTTTTAGTGTCAACGGATGACACTCGCTCATTTGGAACTCCTCCAATACCCCGTTCATAAAATTGAAGGTTCCACTCTCCAAACCCCCTCCCAAACCCCTCCCTAGACTACCCACTCACCCCCACCTAGACCCCCTGTTTACCCCCTCCTGGTATATTACCACACATTTGGAGGGGCCGGGCTAATAGGGGTGTCTAGGGTGGGGGTTCATGGGTCGGACTGGGGTGAGGGTGCATTGGGGGGTTTAGGGAGGAGGTTAGAGTAGGAATCATTAATTTTTCATTTGGAGCACCGGAAGAACTCCAAATGAGTAAATGTCATTCATTGACACTAGAAACCAGTGTCAACGGAACCTTATCGGATTTTTAAATATATAAATTTTTTTTATATCAATCTTTATATAACATGAATTGAAAAAAATATAAAGTTGTGCTTTATTTTGTGCAAAGTATAAAAAATTAGGACAGAAAAAGTAAGAAATTTAAAAAATGAATAATTTTACTTTATTAGCGGAGTGGTAAATTGGGTCCGATTTGATCAAGTTTAATTCATTTCAAGCGAGTCATTTCAAATTTAATCATTTTAAAGTTGGTTACCAAATACTCCATCCGTCTCTAAAATAAGTTCCTTTTTCATTTTCTACACATGTTATAAAACACTTTTATCCTTTCTCAAATTTCTAAGAATACATTCAAAACAACTTCTAAAAATAAAAAAGAAATATAGTGAATTTTAGATATTATATATGTAGGTAGAAATGTTTCATGTGATACGTGGAAAAAGAAAAAAGAACCTTTTTTTGAGACAAAGGAAGTACTTTATTCAAAGGTTAATATTTTGGAGTCAGATGATAAGTAAAAAAATATGTAGAGTCAAATTTGGTTAGTTGTAATTAAATGTATCAACAAGGTGCATGGGAAAGTTTGACTCAAAAGGCTAAGCAGAGCAAGAAGCCCTTTACCAAGAAGAGAACATGTGGAAGGATGAAAGAAAATGAGGGGGTGGTTAATTGAATATATTCCTCGAGTTTGACTAATCAAACCGTTAGAGATATTAATCATTATTTAATTTAAAAAACACATTGCTTGCATAATACTCAAAATAATTTCATTAAATTAGTATTGATAAAAAAATCTCAAAGAAGTAGTCTTTTCAAATTTCATAATCCGCGGTATTTCCTCTGTCCCTAAAAGTTACAGTTTGACTTGTTTGGTCAAATTGTAGCATTCCTTGACCACTAATTAAAAATAATTTAAAATAACTAAATTTACATTATAATTAAATATACTTTTTTCATAATTCACCATGAAAAGTGCCATGCCGAGTTTGATTAAATTTAGATTATAACTCAATGACGAGTAAATTGAGACGGGAGTAGAGACTTCTTTGCTCACTACTACGTGTTTAATTTCAATGGGTTGACTAATACAATTCAACAATTGTACGCATTGGACTTGTAGTATTATTTCTCCTCCAAGCCTCCTTCCCTCCCATCTTGCACTGTTCCATTTTCTTCTTCCTTTATTTTAGTTTCTCAGTTTTAATAAGGGTAAAAAAAAAGAAGAAGACAGCTTTTAATTTGGACATGGGTATTTGTTTGGGGAAACCAGCAAAGCTTGCCCATGTTTCTTCTACCCAATTCTTTTCTGGTATGAACTTCACATCTCTATCTTTAACTTTGACATCTCTTTATACACACACAGACACACACACACAAACACACACACACACACAGAGGCGGATCCAGAAATCGGGAGACATGGGGTCCCGTTTTTTAAATTATGAACATATATTTATACTACGTAATTATTCTCATGCTATAAAAATTCTACTATTTAAATGAACATTCAAAATATGATTCTTAAATGGAATTTTTAAAATCATAACTTCTACATCTGACAATTTTCTAAATATAAAACTTAGTAATTAGATATAATGATTTTTTTTGTCAAAAGCCTCGAATTAGAACGAAAAATTTAGATATATCCAATAATTCTTTAGTGTCACACTTTAAAATGGAAGTAAATTGTAAAAAGAATACAAATAAAACAAAAAAAGATTTGTTTAGGTATTTTTAGGGAAAAGTACTTGTAAAAAGGCAATAAAAATTGTAAACTCTTTGCATGCATCAATATATTCTAAATCCACAGTATTGTAAATAACCGCAAAGAGTGCAAGTTTGAAGTTTTAATGTTTTACATTCAAAATAAATTAATACAATGAAGTATATTTTTTAGGTTTTCTTATAACAATGGGGAATGAGATCAACATTGTATTGCTTGTTTATTACTAACATATGAGGATCGAGGTGATTTTAATAGATTGGAGGTTCGCATTTCGTTTTTGATTTCCACTAAATTTTGAAAGCACTCATATAAGAATTAAACAAAACAAATTTAAATAGCACATGCATTTAGATAGTTTGATAAACAAATTGGAAAAACTTTAATAATTATTTAATACCCCGAGTACCCATTTAAATGGAAATTCTAATGTAGTAATAGATATTAATACAAAAAATACTACCTCAAGAAATATAATAAAATATATAATAATAAAAATGTTTTTGTAAAGTACTTGAAGAAAAAGTTGAGCCCAATAAAAAGAACAAAAATAAAGGGGACATGGAATCGAACTCCAGCTTGCACAACACAAATCCATCACGCGCCTCCACTGCACTAATTCAACATTCAGTTTCATATGGGTTTTGGGAATTTATATACTCATTATATCAGAGCACCTAACATATATAGGATCCTATGTGGAGATCCGTGGGGTCCCGGGACCCCGTGGGACTCAACGTGGGTCCGCCTATGTATGTATGTATGTAGGTATGTATGTATGTATGCATGCATGCATGCATGCATGTATAGTGGCGGATTTAAAAAAATTTTTCGCTGGGGGCAGTAAATTAAAGTGAAAAAAATAAAATTTAAAAACAAAAGACAATTAAATACATGGAACATACTTCTTACCATTAAAATTAAATTAAAAAACAACGTACAATTAAATAAATAGAACATACCTCTTACAATTGTTCTCTTCGAGTTTTCATCTTTTGAAAAGCGATCAATTATATCTTCATTTGTAACATTTAAAAACTCTTCCTTTTCCACAGCACAAATCACACAAGCATTCAAAAAATCATCCCCCATTCAATTCCGCAAATCCAACTTCACATGTTTCATTGCTGAAAAACATCTCTCAACGCTAAAATGAGAGAATTAATATATTTTTAGAGACTAGACTCATCAATTCATATGTTTTGGGACAATTATAAATTATAATTAATAATAATCAACAATTCAATATAATAAACAATTTCATCAAATAGAAAATTGAAATATAAAAACAAATTATTCAAAAGGTTTCAAACAATCACACATTACACATAAATCTAATTTTCAGATTTATCTGATTATTTAGTTCATAATTTAAAACGGAAACAAAATTATTTGGAAATACCTGGTGTTCGACTGACGACTGGTCGGTGCTGCTCGGCGGCGACGCGACGGATGGGAGACGGCGGCGCGGCGGACGGTGCTGCTGTTCGGCTGTTCCGGCTGTTCGGCACTCTGCAGAATCGGTTCTTCAATCGGCTCCTCTTCTCGTTCTCGATTTCTGCAAAAGCCAAAGGGAAGGGAAATTATATTTAATTTATGGGAATTTGGACAATTGGTGAATTGGGCCACTTTTTGATTGGGTCTTTAGCATATTTAATTGTTTTAGGCCAAACTTGGGGCAAATTTTTTATTTTAGTGGGGGCAATTATATATAAACATATATATATATATATATATATATATATATATATATATATATATATATATATATATATATATAAAACAAAAATTCACTGGGGGCAGCTGCCCCCATAACTAAAGCTGCAGATCCGCCCATGTGTGTGTATGTATGTATGTATGTATGTATGTATGTATGTATGTATGTATGTGTGTGTGTGTGTGTATGTATGTATGTATGTATGTATGTATGTATGCATGTATGTATATATGTATGCATGCATGCATGTATATATGTATGTATATGCACATTATTAGTTCCTTTTTTCGTTTGAAAAATTTAAAACAGAAAGTGCACATACGTTTTTCTTGTATTATTGGCTCTTAAGGTTTAATTATAATTTGCACACATATTATTGACTTAGGCTTGATTGTTTTCGGTTGAAATTCTAAAGTTAGATGTTGGAAAAAACTGGAAGAAGTTTGGAGAAATTGGAAGAAACTGGAAAACATTACTACTAGAAAAATGTTGGAAAAAATAAAATGAAAAAGTCACTCAATTAAATGCTTATTCAAATAAATATGTAAGAAAACTAATTTTAGATATAAAAAAGAATTCCTCTTTTTCCTTATTTAAGCTGTTTCCTGTTCTTGCCTCTCCATAATAAAACTGCTCCTCCTCTTCCCCGTGGATGTAGCCAATACAATATTGGTGAACCACGTAAATCTATTGTCGTGTTCTTCGTGTTCAAATTGTTATTCTCGAAATCCGTATAACATAATATATAATGTTTTTTTATAGTCATCATATAGAAATATATTTTTTAACTCGTTGTTGGAAGAAATCAAAAGGAAATGCCCTTAAAATAGTCTTTGATTGTTGAGTGCTTCTATGGTGCACCTTGGGTGCATACGATCTTCTCACGTTTTTTTTATTTTAAATAGTAAGAAAATGCTATATTTCACTCTTGTTTCCAGAAACTAAGAATAACAATGCTCGCAATGAAGGTGATGAGAAAAACGGATCAACACCATTCCCAGCACCGAGTGGTAACCACAAGCACCTAAAACCTTTTGCCTTCAATGATCTGAGAACCGCCACTAGGAATTTCCGGTCGGACAGTCTTCTGGGAGAGGGCGGTTTCGGGTACGTCTTCAAAGGATGGATTGATGAGCACACATTCGCTCCCTGTCGGCCCGGAACCGGCTTGGTTGTGGCTGTAAAGAAACTCAAGCTAGAAAGCCCCCAGGGTCATAGAGAATGGGTTGTATGTTACTCATTTTTCCTCATTTCTTAGCTCCCTACCTATCAGTTGCTTTTACCATTATCATTATTGCTCTGTTTTTATGTGTATGGTGACTAAAATTGACTATTGTATGAAACTTTCAGTCAGAGGTTAACTACTTGAGCCAGCTTCACCATAAAAATCTTGTGAGGTTGATCGGATATTGCTCGGAATGCGAAAACAGACTTCTGGTTTACGAGTTCATGCCGAAAGGAAGCTTGGAAAACCACCTGTTTCGGAGTGAGTTCATTTTATTCTACCTCTCAACATTACTAGCTGTGCCTTCTTTTTTGGATGAATGAACCTCTTAATAAGTGTTTGAGAATTGTCAAAAGAGAGCTTGATTTAGGTGCAATAATGTTCTTATCCTGAACACTTCATTGGATTGGTATGAATGCAGAAGGAGGACAACTTATCTCATGGTCTACTAGGATGCGCATCGCGGTCGATGTGGCACGGGGTCTAGCGTTCTTGCATGGCCTCGATGCCAATGTGATCTACCGTGACCTTAAGGCCTCCAATATTCTCCTTGATTCGGTACATGCCATAGTCCAACTAAGAAGGCGTTTGGTTTTAATTTACTCGATAGTTATGATTGAACTCGTCCCGTGCAGGATTTCAATGCAAAGCTTTCCGATTTTGGCCTTGCGAGAGACGGTCCTAGTGGAGACAAAACTCACGTCTCCACTAGGGTAGTTGGAACTCGAGGTTATGCTGCACCCGAATACGTTGCAACAGGTTTCATTCTCATTTGATTTTTCGCAGCATTCAATGCAACATTTTGACTACTGATGACTTTATTTATAGATGAAACATATAATATATAAAAACACGATCTTTTAAAATTATCTTTCGAAACGAATTTATTGATATTAAATGTATATCTTTCATAAATGTGAAATGTGATCCGTGCATGACAGGTCACCTGACGCCAAAGAGCGATGTGTACAGCTTCGGGGTGGTTCTGCTAGAGCTGCTATCGGGAAGGCGAGCGTCGGGCGATGAGAGTCTAGGGGGCGGAGAAGAAACATTGTTGGTGGATTGGGCAAGACCGTCGCTGTGCGAGAGCAGGAGAGTTGTGAGAATAATGGACACGAGGTTGGGCGGTCAGTATTCGAAGAAAGGTGCTCAAGCTGTCGCCGCGCTTTCCTTTTCGTGCCTCCATAGCGACCCGAGAGCGAGGCCTTCCATCAAAGAGGTTCTCGATGCACTGGAACAACTCCCCCAACCTCCAACCAGGCCAACACCACCGCACTCTAAGCCAAGAAGAGTCATTAAGTAGAGCTGGACATATTGATGGTTAGAAGTAAATGGCATGTAAAAATGATGGTTACAAAGAGAACAATTTCATATACACAGCTCACAGGTGATGGCTAATAAATAATTGGCATTCCATTTATTTTATTTATTTTCATTGAGGGGTGGGGATTTGTGTCTCAATTGAACAAATCTAAACATTAAGATGTGTACAATTCCAATCACATTCACAAGCTAACTCCTTAACACCCACAGCCATCCCTCTGCTTTCCAATGCCTATAACTAATATAATTCTGTCATGGGAGAAAAAGGTCCCATGAAAGACAATAAAAGAAATATAGAACATAAGAGAATAATGCCTAAAACTTGGAAACTCTACTTCGCTTCTTGCATATCGTCTTCGGTCCTCCAAACTACATCTTCAAGACAAGTTGAAAGGCTCTTGTAAAACTGCAGAAAACACAAAATGCAGTAAGTTTAGGTTTCAAATCTCAATACCAAACAAAAAGAAGATAAAGGTTTCGACGATTGAACAATGTTAGGGGCACACCACTTTTGACACCAATATAATGTATCTCGGACAGACTCACAGACAATTTCGCATTGTTGAGTGTATGTGAGATATATTGGGGTCAAAGTTGGTGTCGAGGGTATGTAAAATACGAATATCGATCCATGTACAACATTACCTTGTGGAATTCCAATGTGTCTCCTTTTGCCTTTCGCACCTCGACAAGGTGAAGAGAAGGGGCAACTTGGAATACCTGATTTGAGAATTCAAAGTTTCGGCCTTTTTTTAACAGAGACAGAATTTAAAATAGATAGCAAAGAAAACAGTTGATTCGTGCACCTCGGTTGAAACATTAAGATTCCCCTTTCTTCCCGCTTTTATGTTTTCGAGCCGCATCTAGACATAATTAAAAAATGAAGCATATTCATTTATTATATTCTTCTATAATCTTCGGTAACACATTACGCCGATACAGCATGAGTGACATGGCACATTACCTTGTAATTCCTTTTGCTGACATCGAACCCAAGGGGCTTCACAGCTTCTTCAATCTTGGTGATTATCTCATTGGCTGTGCATTTTGAAGTGAACCTTGTTTCCTTCTTGAATCCCTATGAGCAATTATGGAATAAACAAGTCATTTTTGGATTCGGTTAACAAAACCTTTGTTTCCAACCCCAGTATTTCGGGTTGGGTTTCAGGTAAAAACAAGTCAGGTCAATTTTTGTCACTTCAATGATTGTCATATCTATAAAATAAGAGTTATTGGCTTGAGAAATTGATAATGGTGGCTTTGAGAGACCATGAAAAAAAAAATTAGAGAGGCATAGAAGAAACCTTTTCATCAAAGAGATTTCCGAGATCGAGGCCTTTTGACATAGAAATTAACTCAAATGCATTCATGGCAGTTGGCTGCTCTTCCTTCTTCTCTGTAACATGATGCTCCTGATATAATTTTAAACAAGAAATAATATGTTAGCATATGAGTTATGCGTCCACTTAGCATTTTACATTACTTTCTGATGAAAATAACATTAGAACTCACTTGAGCATCCTTAAAAACAGCTTCCACATCATCAACATTTGCATCTTCTTTCTCATAAAAGATGGGAGGTTTATAACCTTTCTTAAACCACTCGTTTTCCAAAATCTCGGGGATGGTAATGCGCTGCACATTGAGACAGTGTGACATTATGGATAAAACCAATCACGAATAATCGCATAAGCAGAAATCATTTTCCATATAACCAAAATATCAAATTCACTACAGAATAACGAATCCATGTAAAAAAAGGTTTATTTATTTATACTCACAGTTGCAGGATTAGGGTCCAAAATTCGAGTAATTAACTTCATGGCACTGAAGGAGATCCAGGGCGGGCAAGTAAATTCAGCAGAAGATATCTGCATTCACAGTTTAATAATAATAAATAAAAGGTAATACATACGGAGTAAATAAATAATCTTGGCATGAGTGTATGAAAAAGCTCACCTTCTTATATAGGTTCATAAGATTAGAATCATCAAAAGGCAAGTATCCTGCAAGCAATACAAAGAGTATGACTCCACACGACCACAAGTCAGCAGCCGACCCATCATAACCTCGATCATCTAAAACCTAAAGACAAGAATTTTTCGTTGTCATTAAGAAAAATGCATGCTTTCTTCTCACGTGCTGGTGTTGTTTTTGAACTTTTTTTATACCTCGGGAGCAACATAATTTGGTGTTCCACATGTTGTGTGGAGTAACCCGTCATCCTGTCAAATTGCGGATTCATTAATGTCTCTTTTAGCCCAAAGCTAAAACATTGTCAATAATGACTCTTTAATGGGAGAATATATAAGTACAACCACATGATTAATTACCCTTATTTGCTGGGATAGAGCACTCAATCCAAAATCAGAAACTTTGAGTTTCCCAGCAGCATCCAAGAGCAAATTCTCTGGCTACAAAAAGCAATAGAATGTGGGAATTTAGAGTCAGATCTTCTAAAAATAACACATTTGTCTAATAATGTTTCGCGGGGCAGTGAAAAAAATTAAAGCAGCAGTATGATCAACCTTCAGATCGCGGTGGTAGACTCCCCTACTATGGCAATAATCAACTGCATTTATTAGTTGCTGGAAATATTTCCTTGCATCGTCCTCCCTCATCCGCCCATGATTTACCTTTGTTATCATGAAATTAATTAATTAAAAAAAAACAAATTCATATTATGCAAATTGGCAGAAGTTTCGCATTGGAAATGAGAGAACTAAAGGAAAAAGAAAGAATCTGCATACGATTTTATCAAACAGCTCTCCACCGGTAACAAATTCCAAGACAATGAAAATTTTGGTCTTGCTCCCCATCACCTAAAGGTAAATAAAGTTAAGGCACCAACGAAAATGTGATCATAATGTTGGTAAAAATGACAGCCTTTGCTTGTGATTAGAATATGATTCTCTAAGAACATATAGGCAATGAGAGGGAGAGATATAGAGTGAGAGACCTCAATACCTCATATAACTGAACCACATTTGGATGGGTTATTAACTTCATTGTAGCTATTTCTCGCTTGATCTGTCGAATTAAGCACATTTAAAACATTAACATTAAAAAAAAGAGCAACTTTTTCTTTCCCCACCACTTTCAGCACATCCAAACTCAATTTAATGCCGATGGCCGTAACTTCTTCTACCTCCCATAGTAAGAAAATAAGAGGGAAAAAAGGAAAGAGAAGGCATATGAAAGTAGTATGAGAAGACAATTTGTGTTTGTCTTCTCATAGTTGTTGCAACTTCATTCTCACTTTTTAGCCAAAAGGAGAGAGTAATTATATAATAAATGCAACCTTTTGCCTAAGAATGAGAAATAAAGATGCACTACTCCGTAATACATGCAATCTTTTGCACAAAAAAGTGAGAATAAAAGCAACTTATCAACCACACTAGGATCTGTTGCTAGCAAAAGTGCAAGAAAAATGCTAGCTCCTAACTCAAATGTATAATATATTAATAAAATAAAGAAAACAATGCAAAATATGGTGATATAGGGAGCACAATCATATACACTAGTTTAACAGTATAGTAAATAAAACCTGCAAACAAAAATAAAGTACTAACTTGTTCAGCCATTTTGTGCTTGAGGACTTTATCTTTGTCAAGAATCTTGATAGCAACCGGATCTCCGGTCTCGGAATCCCTTGCAAACTTGACTTTGGCAAACGTACCCTCACCTATCGTCCGCCCCAGTTCATATTTACCCACTCTCCGCTTGATTTTCGGTTGATTCATCTTCTTGTTGCTCAATTCCCTTGTGTTTACTGCATATTCATCATCACACACATTCTTCACTTAGTCAACAATTATGGTAGAACAAAACAGAAAATTAGATAAAAAAAATTTCCTGCAAATCTTCTGCATACAGACAGTTAAATGTATATTTGCCTGTGGGGATAATATCATTTTCCCACTTTAGTTTATTCAAATGAATTGAACTATTGAAGTGATAATTATGCAATAATGCTTTAGATCGTTTATAGTGATTTAAAAAAGAGATTTCTTTATTAAAAAAAAAAAGAAGCGATCTGTGTGTGTTTACTGTAAAATAAGGTGGCCTTCACCATCAATGAGAAATTGATGTTTAACAAGAAATGTGACGTGCTCCAAGAATGGGTAAGAAACAAAGGAACTTCTATGTAAAGATCAAGAACCAGAAAGGGAAACCAATATCTGGAGGCAAACTTCAGGAAAATTCAAGAAGCTCAAAAAAAAGATTGCTTTTTTTTTTTTAAAAAAAAAAAAGAAAAAAAACCCAGAAAGAAAAAAGCCAGACTGCCGATTCCCAGGTTCAGCAGCATAACAAACCCAAACACGAGAAAAAGAAACACAAGAAACAAAGGAACAGAGCTCACCAGAAGTGATATATAAGAAGATATATAGATATTGTTGAGCAAGCTAGATAGCAGAGGGTGGAAGGGGAAATGGATGTTGGGAAGATTATATAAGCACCCTGTAGAGCTCTGCAGCCTTCCAGAGACTACAAAGTTATCACCGACCGATAGTGCAACCTCTCTCCCTCTTTCTGCTTCACAAATGTCAATTACCATGTGCTTAGTGCGTACATATTTATATACATCTCCCCCGTTCCGCAATTAACTTTAGGGGGCTTTTTTCGTGTTAGTTCCATCCTTTTTTGTTTAGTTAATATTTTATTCCCTCCGTCTCATAAAACATTACACATTTTGAATAGTATTCGATCAAAAAATTACATATTTTAATTACAAATTATGAGAAAAGTATATTGAATTATAATATAAATTTAATATAATTAGATTCATCTTAGGATTTAGTTTTGATATATCAAATTTTTATAACATTTCTTTATTTAGATTATATTTAATTTATGGTCAAAGCGTGTAACTGTTTGACCAAAAATACATCAAAATGGGTAATATTTTGTGGGACGGAGGGAGTATATTTTAGTGCAATTGGAAAAATTATAACCAATGGTATCCTAATAATCATCAAAGAAGGTTGGTTGTGCAGAGTGCACGCTTCGTTGAGTTTGTTAG